TTCTGTCACTGCTCCGACTCCGGACGTCACTGCCGCGCTCTCCTTCACCTTGGACTCTGGCGCTTCTCGGTGTTTCTTTCGCGACTCCACTACGCTGACGCCACTTCCTACTCCTGCTGCAGTTTCCCGCGCGTGCCTCTGGCACAGACAAGCTCACTGCCCGCACCCTCCCCTGTGTCTTCCTCGTTTTCCCCCTCGACTCGTCCGAGTGGCACTTCTACCACCCGCAGTCTCACCGGTTCTTTCACTCCCGCGACGTCACCTTTGACGAGTCCGTCTCCTTCTACCGCCCCTTCCCCCACCGAGGTCCCCCGGTTACTCCCCCCCTCTTCCTGGTCCCCCCTTCCCTGGTGGCCCCTGCCCCTCCCCCTCCCCCTCCCCGTCCTGCACTGTCTGGTGTGTCCCACGTCATCCCCCTCACGTCATTTGTCCCGGTCGAGGAGTCTGCTGACTCTGGTGGTCCTGCAGCGCAGTCCTCGCCGCCTGTCCCTCCCTAGGTTTTTCGTGCTCCGCCGCCTCTGCAGCCGCCATCGCCACCACTGTCGCAGCTGCCATCACCGCCGCCGCCGCCACCGCAGCCGTCGCAGCAGCAGTTCGTTGACTCTGGGGGTGCTGGTGTTGGGGTGGTTCCTAGTCCTAGAATTCCTGTCGTGGCTTGTCCCGACGGGCCTGGGGGTGGTACCAGTGCTCGAGGGGCTTCGGGCTCTGGGGGTGTTCCTTCTGGGGGTGCTGGAGTGGAGTGTTCCGGAGGTAGCCATGGAGCAGCTTGAGGCCCCGGTGTCGGTGCTGTGCCACCGCAGCTGCAGTCACCGCCGGTGTCAGCCCTTTGCCTACTCAGCCTTCCGTTCCCTGACCCTGCATCTGTTCCTCTCCTGCCGTCCCCTCCTCTTCCTGTCTACGGCCCAGTGTTCCCTCCCCCGGACTCGTCTCCGGCTCGTCTTCCCCCTCGTTCCCCTCCTCTGTCTCCTCCTCTATCTCCTGAAGAGACGCCTCCGTCTCACGTCTGCTCTCGCCGTCCCTCCCGTGCTCGCCCTGTCTCCCCTATCCCGCGCTCTCATCCTATGTTGCTTCGTTCCCACGCGTCTCGTCCTCCCCTCCTGCCGTCGCCTCCTCCGTCCTCCCTTGTTGTTGCGCCTCCCCCTCTGCCTGACTACCTTCCTGCCACTCGTCCTTTTGTTCCTCGGGTCCTTGCCTCACTCGTTATCGACCCGTCTGTTCCGGTTTCGCGTCTCGACGCTCTTGTCGCTGCGGTCGCTGACTTTGCCTCTACCTATCGCCTTGACTACGCCACCGCTCTGGTCTCCGACCCTGCCTGTCCTCCGTTTATCGGGGGTGCTCCTGCCCTCGGCACTGAAGCCCTGGAGGACCGCCAGTACGAGCTTGCTTTCCTGTCCGAGGCTGTTCCCCATCTCTGTTCCATGCTGCTAGTCCCTGAGGGTGACCCACACGCTTTCGACATCCCGACCCCTCGCACCTACGCTGAGGCGGTCTCAGGACCTTGGGCTCTCAGTGGATAGCTGCCATGGAGCAGGAGATGGCATCTTGGAGATCCACCGGCACCTACGTCGACGCAATTCGCCCACCTGGGGTGAACGTAGTCGATGGCCGCTGGCTCTTCAAGGTAAAGCGCCCTCCTGGAGAGCCGCCTATGTTCAAGGCGCGCTACGTGGCTAGAGGCTTCAGTCAGCGTGAGGGGGTGGACTTCTTTCAGACTTTCGCTCCGACCCCGAAGATGACTACTCTTCGGGTGCTGCTACACGTAGGTGCTCAGCGTGACTACGAGCTTCACTCCCTCGACTTCTCCACTGCGTTTCTTCAGGGCAATCTACACGAGCAGGTCTACCTGTACCGCCCTCAGGGTTTCACTGGTACCTTCCCTCCTGGGACCCAGTGGCTCCTGCGGCGCCCAGTCTACGGCCTGCGACACGCTTCCCGTGAGTGGCATGACACGCTGCGTGCTACCCTTGCTGACCTGCAGTTCTTTCCGTCCTCTGCAGACCCCTCGCTCTTCGTTCGTGCTGGCCAGACTCCGTTCTACATCCTTGTTTACGTAGACGACCTGGTCTTCGCCACTGCAGACAGGGACGCACTGGCCTCGGTGAAGGCAGGGCTGCTGAAGAGACACACCTGCACTGACCTTGGAGAACTGCGCCACTACCTTGGCTTGCAGATCTCCAGGGACAGAGCAGCGCGCACCATCACCCTCACTCAGTCACACTTGGTGCGCCAGGTCCTTCAGAGGTTCGGCCTTCAGTTCTCCTCTGCACAGCCCACCGCTTTTTCTGTAGACCACAGGCTCCCTGCTCCAGTTCCTGAGGAGTCAGTAGAGCCCAGTGGCCCTTACGCAGAGCTGGTGGGTTGCCTCATGTACCTGATGACTTGCACTCGCCCAGATCTCGCATATCCTCTCAGCATCTTGGCTCGCTTTGTGGCCACAGGCAGACACCGACCTCAGCACTGGTCGGCCGCTAAGAGGTTTTTGCGTTATCTTGCAAGTACATCAGGCATGGGGTTAGTCCTAGGAGGGCGCAGGCCAGTGGTCCTTACAGGGCACATAGACGCTTCGTGGGCAGACGACGCCGAGACCCTTAGGTCCTCGCAGGGCTACTGCTTTAGCCTTGGTTCAGGTGCTGTCTCGTGGAGAGCTACTCGCTCCTCGTCTGTTGCCCAGTCCAGGTGTGAGGCCGAGATCTACGCCGATGCCATGGCGGCACAGGAGCTCCACTGGCTGACCTTCTTGCTCACTGACTTAGGTGAGCGGCCTAGCTCTGCCCCGGCTTCTAGGTTATATTACCTTGTACTCTCCCATTCTATATGTGTTATTGTTTTCAGGCGACTCGGGAATGACAAGTTTATGGCTTGACCCTTTTTTTTGGATCGTAAATGCTGCTATTTTTATAACCGCATGACGCGCTACAATATGTGACAAAAGTATGTGCTTTGAAACAAAATAGTGTTTTCGTGTTTATCGACTATCAAATCTCCAATGAATTTTAATTTGGGGATTTTGCATTTTTCCGCTCGAAAAGCGACTGGATCTCGGGAAAAATATCGCGTCAGCCACAATGATGACGAAATTGGGTTTGCGCGGGTGGGAAAACGTTCCGAGATGGGCAGGGGTTACTTCTACTGACCATTTGTGGAACTTTTTTCCTGCGGTTTCTGACTAACGGTTGAACCCGACTGATGAATCATGTTGGGAACTCGCTAATTCCGATTGATTATATCATGCCAGTGACCGTACATGTTATCGAGGCCCCTAATACTGAGCGCCGATTTGCTTTCCCTATTGTTTCCTCACTACTCAACTATTCTACACACGCTCTTTGCGCTTCATTACATTCCCCCACATGAAAATGTTACGAAATTCAGACGGAGATGAATATGGAGAGCTTCGCTGCATTTGAGTTCTTGCATCGAATTGCCGCAAGCGCCGTGCACCGTTTCCGCCACCGCGCCCCGAGGCAACCGATTCCGAACCAAAGCAAGGTTGGCTGGCTGCTGTCTAGCAAGCCCGCCACGACCTCCTCTCAGCAACCAATTGAAATTCCGCTAGTTGATCACTCCAAGGTGGCACGGTCCTGCGCTTCCTTTCGAACCGACAACAATTTAGCCAAAGTGACATCATAAACAGGGCCTAGTTTTCAAGGGTAATTATTCGGAATTGAAATAACATTAAGAGTTGGCGCTGGGCTCGTTTCGGAATTTGAACGGGTCGAGTTATCGGGGTTTCCGGAATTTATAGAAGTGGCGTTACGGGGGCTCCGGGCAGATCAGAATTCGCTGGGAGGGCAATCCGGCTGCAACTGCCAATAAATACACCCCCTCCCCCCCCCTCCCCTTCCCCCCTCCTCGCACCCAGGGTGGCAGAGACATTTTACCGGCTAAGTCCCCAACTTTCAGAAACAATCGCACAGAGCCCCCGAACCCATGAAATTCAGCTAAGTCCCTCACAGACAGTTATTACTCCTCCCACACCCGCACAACTCAGAAAATTCGGCTAAGTTCCCAACTTCCAGCAGCATTCCTTCCTTAACCCCGCAACCGAGCAAAAATGGCGAAGTCCCCCACACACAGACATACCGTACTCCTCTCACCCGCACCACCCGAAACCCAGAATTTTCGGCTAAGTTTGTTACAGCCAGGAACTTTCCTTCCTGGACCATAGAGGAATTCGGCTAAGTCCCTCCCAAATAGAGATAGGCCTCCTACCCACACCCACGAAACTTAAAAATTTCGATAGTCCTCATTGCAGGAACATGCCTGCCTTTACCCTATAACATAGAGAATTTGGCTAAGTTTCCCTTACACATAGAGAGTTTTACACAGAGAGACTCCTCCTACCCGGGCCACCCTAAACCTAGAATATTTGGCGTCCCTCACAGACTGGCAAATTCCTCCTACAGCCCCGCAGGCCTACGCAGCTAGGAAGACTTGGCTAAAAACGTTTAGCCACGTTCCCCTCTTCCCCCTTCTCGCAACCCAGAAAGTTGTGAAGGTTGCTGACACAGATTCTACCCTACTTTAGCGGGTTTGTCAGAAAACTGGCGGAAGAAATTAACACTCTTAACGTAGCAAATCCAAAAGTACTTTTTTTTTTGGCACGCCGCAAATGTTACCCTGTTTCGACCTTGAACATCGTGACATGTCCGAGTCAATGTTTGCTGTAACTCGGCTAAAAGTAACTTTGTACCCGAATCTGGATGAAACAGAAATCAACCACCCTGAAATCCGGACGAATCAGGGTGCAGGGGGGTGGGGAATCCGGGAGAAACAGGGCTCCAAAAAAGCTTAGCGTGAGCCCTGATCATAAACCAGCCTCATCTAGCCGAACCTATCCCCAAGTTGGGAGACAAGCTTTCTGTGGCTGCAATTGGTGTGGGGCGCAGCTCCGAAGCAACTAATCTCAAGGGCTGGTTCGGTTCGGAGGGGTTCTCCTAGGCCTGGTTGTGAAATACGGTGACAATCTCTAGGAATCAGGGCCAGGACCAAAAGGGCGACAGGGAAAAAAGCTAGCATTGGTCTTGGGAAGCATTGCCTGGCCTTGGGATTATAGTCAGCTCCACTATTTCTCCACACTCCTTATGTTCAGTCCCGCCACCTAGGTTACTCCATACCTCGTGTCACTATTGTTCTCTCCCCGCATTTGTTCAACCATGGCTGGCGTGACTCGAGGCGCTCTCTCGTTAGCCATCCCTTTACTCCTACTTTTGGTCGTCACGTCCGCGCAGCAGCTCTGTCCGTTCACGGGCAAGCCCCCGACGAAGCCCACAAAGCCGCTGTACCGATGCGTGGCGGAGAGCGAGCTCGCGTGCTGCTCGGCGTGCGACGACTGGGTCACCGCGGCGACGGTGATCGGACAGAACGGCTCGAGGATCCTGGGAACGCTCTTCCCTCCGGACATCACTTTTGAAGCGCTGGACAAGTTCAAGGCCACGCCGGTAAGAAAAGTTTAATATATATTCTCGCTTTTTTATCCTTCACCGTGTCTCGATAATTGGCTTGGATTGGTTCAGGATTACTTGCCTGGCTCTGAGTTTCGAAGTCCGTACATAAATGGTAAAAGTACGGAACGGTTAAGAAAAAATCGTTTTTTTCTCTCCAAACACCACATTTGATGCGCGGGACAAGTTTAAAGCCCCAACGTCCAGCGACTGTGCTCGTTCTTACGCCTCCGCGAAATCCCTGCCTGGTCTAAATGCGGTATGCCTTGTTTACTCACTCCATGACCCCCCAGTTTTGCGGGTTTCTCGCGGGAGGCAGCAGCACTTGTCTGCAGCTGATCGAGGGTCTCTACTGCGCCATAATGTGCGACCCTGACGGGAGCAGGTACCTCTCCATCGACCTCGCTCCCTCGAAAAAGCTCGCCGACAGCAACGGAACGATCCGCATCTGCAACGACTTCTCCAACCGCGTGTACGAGGCGTGTCAGAGCCTGAGCTTCCCTGGTGTCGCGCTGACGATCGCAAGCCTGATCAAGAATCCCTCGGTACGTATCACTGTAGACTGAGGTGTCCGCGGAACTACCAAGGAGGTTTTTTGTTTTCTCCAACCGCGTCTACGAGGCGTGCCAGAGCCTGAGCTTCCCTGGCGTCGCGCTGACCATTGCGAGCCTCATCAAGAACCCCTCGGTATGTACTGGCAGTCGCAAGCTTGATAAAAGGAACCCATCGGTCTGTACAACTGTTGACCAAAACCCCACCCGAACCTCAACTTTCTTTCCACCTTGGCACGTTTTGCGTTTCCTGTTCTCTCTTTTCCACAAAACACAGCCGTCACATCACCCTTCCATTCCAGTTTTCTGATTCGTCCCCCTCCTTAGCATCCATCACATCTGACCCGCCTACTCTCTTTAAATTCCTGTCAATGGTGTCACCCTGCTTGCTGTGACTGCATTCTCCCCATCCTCATTGCTCAACACCTCCCATCCCAGCGCTGGTGTTCTGACCAAATTCCCTCCCTTCAATTCTATGCCCAATGACCTCCCAGAAATTCCTCTCAATGGTCGTCACGCCGCTTGCCGGAACGGCAACCCCCCTCGCAAACCTCAACACCGAGCTAGTTCCTGCTGAAAGCGGCACCGACACTTGCTTCTCGACCACCCCAGGAGATGTGTACGCTCAAACACCCCTTTGCTGCGATAGGCTAACGGGGTTCCCGGTGGAGTGTCCCAAGGACCCTCAGTACGCGGATGTGAAAGACGTCCTTTCGTTTGTGGTGAATCGGACGGTGCCTGCAACTTGCACCTCTACTTCTAACAGCCCTGTTTCTACACCCGGTGGGTCTCCTCCCACCGTTTCTCCACCCACTGCATCTCCACCCACGGCGTCTCCACCCACGGCGTCTCCACCCACGGCATCTCCACCCACCGGGACTCCATCCACCGGGACTCCATCCACCGGGACTCCACCCACCGGGACTCCACCCACCGGGACTACACCCACCGGGTCTACACCCACCGGGTCTACACCCAATGGGTCTACATCAAACAGTGGCTCATACAGCAAGGGTGCAACGTCGGGTGGGGTGCTTAGGGGTGGGGTGTGGTGGGTATGGTGCCAGGTTGTGCTTGCTGCACTGGTGCTGCCTGTAGTTTTGTTGCATTGAGTCAGCTGGATTTGGCTTGACTAGGAGGCTGACAGCTATTTTGTAGCTGGGTTGAAGGATATCGTATTTGGAACAAACAAGGGTTTTTTTGTATTCACTTGATTATTAAAGAGAGTGTTCTTACACCCCATATCGGACGCGTGCGGTACTACTGTCCAACGCTATTATGGCGAGCTGGTTTAGTACGGTTCGGAATGGTTGAACCCGAGTCTGAAAATAGGTTCTGTTCTGATAACAGCTCCTAGGAACACACTCTAACAGACGGGTAGATGGGTGGGCGACATAAATGTACAAGTAGCTAGTTCTGGCCTGCACAATTTAGCTTTTGACAAGCAGCTTGAATTTTTTAGGCGTCCTTGCCCATAGGGTAACCAAACGTAGGTTATCAAACGCTTAAATAACAAAAAATACCAAGCGACTATTGCAAAAAAAAGCATGCCACACTGGTTGAACACGACGAGGCAGTGTAGTTTCAGACTAGTATTGTGTCTGGGAAAGACGAGGAGCCATTGTTGGGAGCAGGCTCGATCTTTAAGATGCTGGATATCACATTGTGGAGCTGTGTGAGGAGAGGGATGACAGGTGGGGATGATGGGTGGGGATGATGGGTGGGGATGATGGGTGGGGATGATGGGTGGGGATGAAGTGGGGATGATGGGTGTGATGAGATGATGACCGGGACACAATTTATTGGCGGAAGGTGCCATGAAGCCTGGTCATGTGGATGAGGATATGCCTATACCACAAATATAAGAACATCCCCTCTCCAATGCAATACTAAAAACCTCCCCTCAAGTTCCTGTAAGGTGGACAGCAAAAGTGCGAAGGAGGCGCGTGGTGTGGTACGGTGCAGTACGGTGCGGTGTGGTGGTGTACTGGGCATGATGACGACTGGCCAGTAATACAATATGACCCAAAACAGTTTATGTCAACACACCTGCCATCCCCACCCAAGAGTCACCTTCATATTCTCAACGTTGACACCAAACCGACCTTCATCCCCTCCATTGACCCAAACCCCACCTTTGTCCCCTCGATCGACCCAAACCCCACCTTCACCCCCTCCATTGACCCAAGACCCACCTTCTTCCCCTCCATTGACCCAAAACCCACCTTCATCCCCTCGATTGACCTAAAACCCACCTTCACCCCCTCCATTGACCCTAACTCCACCTTCTTCCCCTCCATTGACCCAAAACCCACCTTCGTCCTCTCCATTGACCCAAGGCCCATCTTCATACTCCCTAGATTCACTAACGATTCCACTTGCCAATTCTATGAACTGAATACTCACGGAAGCGCCCATTGAGATGCGGCTTGAAACTTTGAAGCCTCGCCTCTGTATTCCGGAAAGGTGGCACTGTCCCATGCGAGGCGAATCAGGATGCTGTCGTAGCCATGGCTGGATGGATGCACTATTCTCTTAGGACTGACTCCTGCTGTCTGACATTCTCTGAAGACTGCTCTCTGGCTTCGAACATTCACTGAAGACTCACCTCAGTAATCCGGAAGGTGGGCACTCTCCTGTGCGCAGCTAATCAGGGCCCTCAAGCCAGGGTGTTGTCATAGCCGTGCATGGAACATTCACTGAAGATTCGTACCTCTGCTTTCTTACCATTCACTGAAGACTCGCCTCTGTATTCCGGAAGGTGGGCACTCTCCTGTGCGCAGCGAACCGGGGCCCTCGGGCCATGAAGACAGGTCGCATGGAGGCAAGGGTGTTGTCCTCGCCGTGCACGGAACATTCACTGAAAGCTCATCCCTCTGCCTCCTGAACGTTCTCTGAAGACTCACCTCTGTATTCCGAAAGGTGGGCACTCTCCTGTGCGCAGCGAATCGGGGCCCTCGGGCCATGAAGACAGATCGCATGGAGGCCAGGGTGTTGTCGTAGCCGTGCATGCCCCCATCCCACGCTGACGAGTGGTGGTATACCACCGAATAGCCCTCCGCTGCTAGTGCCAAGATGGGCTGCAGACGAGGCAAGGAGGGTCGAGACAATGCAAGGAGGGGGATTGAGTAAAACAACTGATGAGATAGGCGGAGGGAGATTACAGGGAGTGACGGAACACCCTGGTCCTGGTCCGACCGAGAACCACCGCCAAGGGCCGAAAGAAAGAAAGAAAAAGGTGCCCGCATAAATACTCACCGGTATTCTGTCGCTGCCCGAGAACTCAAACTGGGCAGGAAAATCCTCCCTCAAATATATCGACAGCGCATCACCATTTGCAATCTGCCCGTCTTCAATCGCCCGCCGCATTCCCGCCACCACCGCCGCCGCTGCATCGCGCTCTAGTTTCTCCGATGCGAGGGGGTCTTGCGTGACTCGCTCGGCTGTTCCTGGGCGGCGTTGCGCGTCTGTTTCTGGGAGGAAGATGCCGAGAAGCGGGTAGCTGAAGTCGATCCATGCGGGCGAGAGGCCGGGGACGTGCGGTTCGAACTGCTCCAAGGAGATGACTCGCGACTTGCACGTGGCGAGCATGCCGTGGTCGCTGACAACGATGAGATTCACGTCGTTGGTCATGTTCCTGGGGGGGAGAGAGGGGTGCGGGGGTTGACAGGGACGGGAGTTGAGGGGGTGGGGGGGTGGGAGTGGTTAGGGAGAGGCCTGGGACGTGAGGTTCAAACTGCTCCAGAACGATGACGCGCGACTTGCACGTGGCGAGCATGCCGTGATCGGTCACTAGGGGGAGATTCACGTCGTTGGCCGTGGTCATGGCGAGGGCAGAGGGGAGGGGGCTTGACAGGGATGGGACTTGAGGGGGTGGGGGGTGGGACTTGAGGGGGTGGGGGGTGGGACTTGATCGCTCACAAGCAGGAGATGAGAGTCACGCCAATGGTGAGGCAGAGGGGAGAGGGGAGAGGGGAGAGGGGTGGGATAATGTAAACCAGTTGTGATGTGAGGGGGGATGACATTCGATCTGATTGTTCTTTCCATCGAGCAGGCGCTCTCACCTCACCAACCATGCCATCTGCTCAGCACGCTTCATGGCAAGCAGCCAGCAGCGGTCGCCCACCCGCCTACCTGTGTGATCCACTCCATTCAAGATCCATGCGTGAGGAGTCTATTTTTGAGGCGCCAAAAAAAATCAAGAACCGTCCTCTGATGCCATCCAAGCGTTTCACAGCAGTGGACTTTTGAGTCAAATCAAAGTCAGCCTGAGATCCACCCCATTCAAAAACCATCCTATCATGCCATCCACGCAGGGGCCACCAGAGGTGTCCCTCCTTGGCGCCCCCTCTCGTTCTCCCATTCCCACCAACTTACCAGTGATCTCGCCCGTGCCACTCCCACCTGCTCACCTGCCATCCAGCCCATCTAGCAGCCGGCCGCCCTATCATGCCATCCGCGCGCTTCACAGCAGCAGCAACCAGGCGACAATCCGGCCTGCCTTTGTGCCAGCTCTGATCTTCCCGTTACCACCCGCTTACCTATGATCCAGCCCATTCAAGAGCCACCCTATCATGCTGTCGACTCGCTTCCCAGCAGCAGCCACTAGGGGCGGATCCGTCTCTCTTTTCTGCCCAACCTCGTCTCCTGATTCCCACCTGCTCACCTGGCATCCAGACCGCCTAGCAGCCGCCCAATCATGCTGTCGACTTGCTTCACAGCAGCAGAAACCAAGGGCGTATCCGGCCCTCCCTTGTGCCCACTCTCGTCCGGCTCCTCAAAGTAGAGCGAGAGGAAGGAGGGGCGGAGAGGAGAGGGGAGGTCCAGCCAGGCTAAAACTTGATCCACTCTCTTTGGAGGAAGAGGAGGTGGTTGGGGGGGGAGGGGGGGCGGGGAAGAGGGGGGGAGTGGAAGAGAGGAAGAGAGATTAAGGTTGTGTCCGGCCCTCCTTTGCGCCCACAATCATCCGGCTCTTCAAAGTAGAGCGAGAGGAAGGAGGGGCGGAGGGCAGGTGGGAGGTCCAGCCACGCAAGCACCTGGTCCACTCTCTGTTGGGAGGGGGAAGGGAGTGAGGGTTGAGACACAGGAACGGAGTGTTGTGCCCTCCTTTGTGCCCTCCTTTGTGCCCTCCTTTGTGCCCTCCTTTGTGCCCTCCTTTGTGCCCTCCTTTGTGCCCTCCTTTGTGCCCTCCTTTGTGCCCTCTCCTCGTCCAGCTCTTCGAAGTAGAGCGAGAGGAAGGTAGGGCGGAGAGGGGGAGGTAGGTCCAGCCAGGCCAGGACTTGATCCTCTCTCTGTGGCAGAGCAGAGAGCTGAGGGATGGGGATGAAGAGGAGTAAGAGAGCAGGGAGGTGAGGGAGGGGAGTGAAGAGGAGTAAGAGAGCAGGGAGTATTTCCCCCTAAGTGTCCCTTAAGAGAACCAGCCCATTCCCACATCATGTATCCCCTCCCCCCTGACCTTCCCTCTCCCCCCCTTGCCCTCCCTCCCCCTCCCCCCCCCTCTCCCCTTTCTCTCCCGCCTTTCTCCCCCCTCTTCCATGCCCACCTGTTCAATTCAAACAGCATAGTAGTCAACTAAGAATGACTTTTCAGTCGACTCAGCATGACTTTTGAGTCGACTCAAAAGTCCCCCCACCCCCACCCCCCACCCCTCCCACCCCCTCTTCCCCTCCATTCCATGCTCACCTGTTCAAACGGCATGGACTCGTTGTATTGCAGGCAGTAGTCAGACGGGCAGGACCAATCAGCTCGCGACACATCAGCGCCTGGCCAAAACACTGTCGCTGCACGCAGGCCCTGCAGAAAACCACAAAAAGGAGGAGGGGGCGGGGGGGCGGGGCGGAGGAGGGGGGGGTGTTGGGGGGGGTTTTAGGGTCAGGGAGGGAGAAAGTAGATTTTTTTTTAGCTAAGTTGCACTAAACGCTCAGAATCCACAGCGTATAGCGTATATACGCTGTACGAGCGTTTAAACGCTATACGCCCGGCTGAAATTTCGGGGGCAGCCCGTCGGAAAAAAACGCAAAAAAATAGATCGCCACTTCGCGTCATGGAGAAGCCAGCCACACTATCGCGAAATGTCGAGACCCCAATTTTCTGCCCAAACCCAACTTCCAACCAATCTCCCCCCCCCAACCGCACTGCACCCCAAGGCATCTACCAAACTCAACCAAACGTCAAATGGGCTCTGTCTACCTCTACCAAACACTCTAAACCTTAAACGTCTCGCGTAATCTACCAGCCGCATTAGGCGGCAGATTAAGCTAGAATCGTAGCTTAGGAAGCACAACGTCGCCTCGTTTTTTAGGCAGCGCCATGTCGACATGGTTGAAACCTTGACATGGCGGTTGTTTAAGCTTTAGAGGCTTAACTATGTTCTCTGGTTCATGTTAAAATGGGAAACTATGCCCCACACCACATTCCACCTTTTTCCCCCTCCCTAGACACGTTTTTTTTCCCTGCCCGGGAATTTTTTTCCGCCTGCCCGGACAAGCGTATACCTAGCATATACGTGGCCCCAAACAGGCATATAGCGTGTATACGCTAGCGTCTCAAACGCCAAACGCGTTTAGTGCAACCTAGGTTTTGAGACGTCTGAACGCAGATCTACTCAAAACATTCGCTCTGCTCGCTTGCAGGCTCTGCAACGGATAAAAAGAAAGAGGAAGGGAGGGAGAGAGGGGGGTGAGGTTTTCAATATAAGGACCACTTGAAAAGGGGGATGGTGTTGCGAACACTTTTTTTTTTTTTTTTTTTTTTTATGAGAGTCCTCAAACCCCTCTCCCACCCCTCTCCAACTTTCTCCTCCTCATTCTTAAGAATTCTCAAAAGCCTCCCAGACCCAGACAGGCTTCCTCAGCTACCAACTGGGACCTCGGTCACATTGTAACGAGATGACTTTTGAGTCGACTCAAGAGAGGTGGCTCTTGAGTCAGCTCAAAAGAGGTGACTTTTGAGTTGGCTCAAAAGTCATTCTCCAGAGTCTCTCAGACACAGACAGGCTCCCTCAGCTACCAGCTAGGGACCTCGGTCACTCAGCCCCTCTGAAAACACATCATGGCGGGTTTTGTTGACCTGGGTCTATTCTCTCGCTTTCCCTCCCCCCGCCCCTCACATGTCGATTCACAGTCGCCCATATGGCCCCCCCCAGCCACCACCTAGGCGCAATCATTGCCGTGCTGGTGTGATGTGAACACATCGCTGTGGTTGGTTGGCCGGGTTGCAGAACGAGTCGGTGATGTGATGATGCCACACAGGGAGCAGACCGGTTGCCATGGATTGAATGCGAGGGGAAGGTGACGTCTCTCCTGTCAAACCACCACCCTGGCTCTCCTCCTAGATCCATCCCCAATCCCGCTTACCTGTCGATTCACAGTCGCCCAGATAGGTTCCCCCAGCCACCATCTCGGGTCAATCGTTGCAGGCGTGAACACGTCCGAATGGTTGGCTGGGTTGCGGAACTTGTTGGCAATGATGCCGTGGGACGCAGGGAGCAGCCCGGTGGCCATGGAGTAGTGCGAGGGGAAGGTGAGGGAGGGGAAGACTGGCAGCATGCCGTGCTCTGCGAATGTGCCTTCTGCTAGCAACCTGACATGCAGGCAAGGAGGGGATGAGAGGAGGGCGGGGGATACGAAGAGCTTGTGCTAGCCTTAGGAGGGGAAGGCTGGCAACATGCCGCACTCTGCAAATGTGCCTTTAGCTAGCATCCTGCAAATAGATACACTTGGCGTGTGGAAGGAAGGCAGCAGCCCGGTGGCCATCGTGTAGTGGGAGCCTGGGAGGGGATGGTGAGGGGGGGAGGTGAGGGAAGGGAAGACTGGCAGCATGCCGTGTTCCGCAAATCGGCACATACCAAACCTGTCCTCCCACACCTGTCCCCCATACCTGTCCTCCCATACCTGTCCTCCCATACCTGTCCTCCCACACCTGTCCTCCCATAACTGTCCTCCTGCGTGCCCTCCCACCCACACCTGCCCTCCCATGCCTTACCTCCCTCGTATTAAGTTGGGTATACCTGTTGAGATTGGGAGTGTCGGCTTTAAGATGATACCCGTGTCGGAACCCATCCAGAGACACGAGGATCACTGTGGGCTGCCCTCCCAGCACGCCTGAGGGGGCGGGAGGGAGCCCCCCCCCTCCGTCAAACGCGGATGAGCAGGAGGCGTGGAGGTGGGCTGTGAGGAATATGGAGAGAGCGAATCCCAGGACGACTGGATGGGATGGGGTTTGGTGGGGAATGGGGAGAGAATGGGGAGAGTACGGGGATTCAGGGGGGCTGGCTCGATGCGCGGATGTGGGAATATGGAGCGGGCGAAACGCAGGATGACTGGAGGGGATGGGGATTGGTGGGGGGATGGGAAATGGTGGAAGCATGGCGATTGGTGGGGGGACGGGGACGGAGGAAGAAGAGGGGAAGTGGGTGAGGGGGGGGAGATGGGGGGAGATGGGGGGGAGGGATGGGGGGAGGGGGAGTAAGGGGGAGGCAAGCAGGTAGTCCGCCAGGAAAGATGAGAGGGCGCACCCCAGAGTCCCAGACCGACCTGAGGCACTAAGAGGGTTCAAAAGAAACACGAGATTGGGAATGAGGAGGAAGGGGAGCAGGAGGCGTTGATTGCAAATGTGCAGGAGGCATCAATCGCAAATGTGCAGAAGGCGCAGCCGTGTGCTGTGAGGGAAATGGAGCGGGCGAAGCCCAAGGATGGCGGGATGGGAAACGGTGGGGGAATGGTGGGGAATGGTGCGGGAATTGGGGGGGGAGGGGGGGGATGAGGGGGAAATGGTGGGCAATGGTGGGCGAATGGTGGGGGAATGGTGTGGGAATGGTGGGGAATGGTGGGAGAATTGGGGGGGGGGGGGGGAGGGATGAGGGGGAAATCGTGGGGAATGGTCGGCGAATGGTGGGGAATGGTAGGGAATGGTGCGGGAATGGTGGGAGAATTGGGGGGGGGAGGGGGGGGATGAGGGGGAAATGGTGGGGAATGGTCGGCGAATGGTGGGCGAATGGTGGGAGAATGGTGGGGAATGGTGGGGGATTGGTGGGTGAATGATAGGAGAATTTGGGGGGGAATGGGGGGGAAATGGTGGGGGAATGGTGCGGTGGGGAAATGGGGAGGAAAAGGGATAGGAGAGGCATCGAACGCAGATGAGCAGGAGGCGCGGCGGTGAGCTGTTAGGAATCTGGGGCGGGCGAATTCAAGGACGGCTGAGGGGCGATGGGGGGTCCACGGGTGAAGGATGCGAGCAGCCCAAAAAGCAAGGTCGCGTTCGCAGAAAGCGACGGCCATGGCCATCGCCGCGGACATCGGTATCGTACGTGCGACGGCGAGGTCGTCGCCTTGCGACGTCGCCTGCCTGACCCTACAAGATCCAGGTGTGTTTTTTAGTCGATTCAAAATATGCCTGCCCTGAAAGCTCATCTGAGAAGAAAGCGACGGCCATGGCCATCGCAGCGAACGTCCCGAGCTCGTGTGCACCATGCACGGTGCCATGCAATCTGCGTCGATTCATGGCACAATGTTTGGCGCTCGTGTGAGGGAGCAGGCTCCCAGGATCCAATCCACCCGCAGAGAGCTCACCCGAGAAGAACGCGACGGCCATCGCCATCGCCGCGAACGTCCCGAGCCGTCCCGACAGAATCGAGGGGCGCGGCTTTCTATGCCGATGACCGACGTACACGTCATCCTCCTCGCTTTCCACGTCATCGTCGCTGCCACCGCAGTCGCCATCAACCTCCCGCTTCTCCTCGCTTAGAATCAGGCTGTGCTCCACAGGACTCGGCGACGGGCTAGATCCCGCTAATCCCGCCGGAATCTGCGCTTTGCCTAGCATAGCGAGCTGCTCGGAGCTTCTCGGCTTAGACATTCTTAGATACTACTATGACACAATGAGCTATTGCTTCACAGTGAACCTATGGTCTCTGTGAGGTAATATCTACGCCTGAACGCGAGAAAAAAATGGAGAGACTAGCTTGGCAAAGCGCAGATTCGAGTTACTTAGCTCTGCAGAAGATTGATTCGCATGGAAAGACGGGATTCCTCGTGCAGTTGAAAGAGTCGCCGAGTTTTGCTAGCTAGGAACGCGGGGGCTCGGAACTGAAGTCGTATGAAGGGGACAGTGCTACCTTGGCGATACGGGCGTTTGTGTGATGGTGATTCCTCCCCCATTCCCCATTCCCGAAAAGCATTGGTCGCCATTGGGACTAGGTTGCGTTGGGTTGGGGAGAGCGATGCAGCAGTGGCAGGAGGGCCTTGGGATTGTCAGGTGCTGCCTGAGGTGACGACGATCAGATCGACGCAAGAACCAATTGGAGTTCCCAAGGGTACACTGACGAACACCTGCGACGAAGGGGAGGAGCAGCAAAGGTGAGTCGAATGCGCTGGGTTCTTCAAAAGATTCTTTCGCCGGACCAGCAGAGCCACAGAAGTCAGCTGATGGTGTCCCAGCGTGTTTCAACGAACCGGCTTGCGAAGTTTTCGCAAAAGAAATACACCCGATCAACTCTTTCGCACACACACCCCCTTTCCCTTGTATCCCCCCCACCCTCCCTCCACCACCATTTACTGTACACCAAGCTTCAACAGTACGCCCAGGAAACCAGTCGATTTTTGCGATTGCTTTGCCATTGCCTTGGGATAATATCACCTCTACAGCATAAAATTCTAAGTTGCTGGCATACTGACGTATCATCGGGACCATTTTTACAGCGGGTCGGCAGACGATGGCGGCAGCCAAAAACACCGCGTATCGGCGATCTCCACTCGGCCAGGCGTCTGACGTCAGCGCCAGACCGAGCGGCGACAACAGCAGCGATGCGAGCAAGAATGCTGACGTCAGCACGAGCGCGAGATCGAGGGACAGCGACGCGACGGCAGCGAAGGTGGCGGAGTACGAGCGATTCGTGGAGGAGAGGCTGAAGGTCGATTTGCAACAGGCGATGGAAGACAGGTGAGTATGTGGGAAGGGGAGGGGGGAGGGGGGAAGAGGGGAAGGGGGCGGTGCTATTGAAGGTGATTTTTTAGAATTCTCAAAGATCGCCTGCGTCACGGGGGCGCCGCATAAAGGGGATACGGGCATCGAAGGTGGCGGCGGAGTACGGCGATTCGTGGAGGAGATGCTGAAGGTCGATTTGCAGCAAGCGATGGAAGACAGGGGTGTGTGTGTGTGTGTGCGTGTTTTGTTGAAGCGCCTTATAACGGGGATATGGGCAGTGGAGGTGGCGGAATAGGAACGGTTCGTTGAAGAAAGACTGAAGGTTGATCTGCTGCAGGCGATGGAAGACAGGGGGAGCGGGGGGAAACGAGCGGAAGAATGGGATGGGGGGGGAGGGAAGGGGGGAGGAAGGGAGGGGTGAGGGAAGGGGGGAGGAAGGGAGGGGGTGGGAGGGAAGGGGGGAGGAAGGGAGAGGGGGGGAAGGGAGGGGGAGGAAGGGAGGGAGGGGGAAGGTAGGGGGGAGGAAGGGAGGGGGGGGAAGGGAGGGGGTAGGCAAGTTGGCACGTCTCACAATCAGACAGACAACCATGTCTTATTTTCTGCCTCTCTTTATGCTGGCGTCTTCAAACAGCCCATTACTCCCGTTCCATCCATCCATGTCTGATGTGACTTTTGACACATCAGACATGGCACATCCGTGCCATCCATCCATCCGTCTTCCGTGCCATCCTAAACAGCCCTAAACTCCCGTGTCATCCATCCATGTCTGATTCCCTGCCTTGGGTGCATACTTGTGCACACATGCATGCATGCATGTGACAATGCGTCTGTGAGTGTCATGGATGTGTGCTTGTGCTCATTTCTGTGCGTGCACGTATGTGTGTGAGCATGCGTGTGCACATGCATGTGTGCATCCGTGCACGTGTATGTGCTTGTGTGAATGCGTGTATGCATGCATCGGTGCGCAGGCACAAAGTCCAAGAAGAGATTCAAGTCTAGTACGCTCATGCTCCCCCTCTCTACTTCTCTCTTCTCCTCTCTTTCTTGCCATCTCCTCCCCTCCCCTCTCCCCCCCTTCACTGTCACCTGCGCATCACTTCGTCCCTTTTCAAACTGTTCCACTTTATGCCATACGCAAAGCTCATTGCATTGCAGCTTATTTTGAAATATGCACTCACCCTTCCATTTTCCAGTTAAGGCATAACACGTTTATTCATATCATATGTGCATTCACCCTGACTATATGCTATCCATTTTTTCCCCATTTTCTGCGATTCATCTCACATACACATTATTGTACACCACCTCGTTACAGTGAGGAGTTGGTGCGCAATATCGAGGCGCTGGAGGCGAATGGAGTGGAGGAGATGAGAGCGATGGTCAACCTTGGAGGGGAGGTGTTTGTGCAAGCTGACGTGTGAGTGGTGGTGTGGGGTGATGCGGTGCGGTGTGGTGTGGTGTGGTGTGGTGTGGTGTGGTGTGGTGTGGTGTGGTGTGGAGTGGTGTGGTGTGGTGTGGTGTGGTGTGGAGTGGGAGAGAGATATATACCACGGGGCGGTCGGGAGTGAAGGAGATCTGCAGAGCAGGGAGTGAAGGAGGTAAGTGCGATGGTCAACCTTGGGGGGGAGGTGTTCGTGCAAGCTGACACGTGAGTGGTGGTGTGGGGTGCGAGAGAGAAATATACCAGGGGGTTGTGGGGAGTAAAGGAGATCCGCACGGTTGCAGGGAGTAAAGGAGATGAGAGCGATGGTGAACCTTAGGGGGGTTGTTTTTGTGCAATCAGGCGTGTGAGTGGGTGGGTGGGTGTGTACGTGGTTTGTGGCGCTGGTTGCGTTGACTAGGAAGGCGAATGGAGTGGCAGGAGGTGAGAGCAATGGTCAGCCTTGGGTGGGGGGGGGGGGGGGGGTTTCTGTGCAAGTTGACGAGTGATTGGGGGGGTGGGAGTGGGAGTGAGATGCAGTGCTGGATTGGGGTAGTGGAGGAAGACCGAAGTCAACTTTGAACTCATGGACTCATTCACTCCGCTGACTCCTGTTGACTCCCGTTGACTCCTTTTAACTCCCATGAATTTCATTGTCCTCGTTGACTCCTACGGGCCGTAGGCTCAACATGTCCACATATTCGTGGCGGTGGGGCTGAACTTCCGTGTGGAGTTGACTCGATTTTGCTGGACTCCGGTTGACCCCCGTTGACTCCTGTTGACCCCCGTTAAATCCTGTTTACCCGTTGACTCCTGTTGACTCCATCCCTGACACCTTGCCCATATCGTGGAGTTCACACGGCTGGAAGCTAGAGATGCTGGTGTCTCCCGCCCTCCAACTGACCTTGTTGACTCCGGTTGACTCCCATTGACTCCCATTGACTCCCATTGACTCCCGTTGATTGGAGGCCTGAACGTCCCCCATATTGATCTTGCCATCCTCCAGTTTGTCCCGTTGGCTCCCACGGACTGCGGACCCGACACATCGCTCACATTTTGTTTGGCATGACGTGGCAGGGAAAAATATCTTTGACCGCATCCTCTTGTTGACTCCCGTTGACTCCCGTTGACTCCAGGCCTGACACATCCCGAATATTTGTGTCAGTGGGGCTGGGCTTTCACGTGGAGTTTACCAGACTTGAAGCCAAGGAGTTTGCCGCCACCAAGATCGAGCACTTGAGAAAGTGAGTGCTTAGTGCAGCACTTCAGAAATTTCGAGGCTCCTCAAAACTGGTAAGTGCATGGTGTGCGGCACTTACAGTAAGCCATGGAGCTGGGCGAGAGGCCCATTGTGCAGCCATTGGGTGAGAGGCCCATTGTGCAGATTTTTTTTTGTTTTTTTTTTTGGGGGCTTTAAGGCCCATTGTGCAGCTAAGAAGACACGTGTAGCAGGAAAGTGACAGCAGGTGTTGAAAATAATTAACCCCTATGGGAAGTGAATAGTCGGTGCAGCACTTTAAGTACCTTTGGAGTGTAGCAGCCATGCAGGAGAGTCAGCAGAGCAAGTGGGTTCGCTGTTAGCTTCGGGTGCGCTTGTCCCGCGCCAAAACCCCACTTGCTACTCTCCTTGCTTCGCCAGCTTCTTTCCTTGCGTCTTCCTTGCGTCTTCCTCCATTCTTCGTTTTGGCTGTGTTCCACTACTCTGTTCTTCGTCACCCATGGCTGGAAGCGAAGCAGAACTGAGAGAAACATTTGGTAAAAAAAGGAAGGTAGTAAAAGTACCTTCCAGGAGCGAGTTGAACGCAAAACCATCCCGGCTGTGTTCCACTATTTCGTTCCCAACCCCAACCCCCCCTCACCCCCCATTCCGCACCCCCGCCCCGCTTCCTCATTGTTGGTACTCTCTCTTGGGGCAGGCATGTTGCTGGACACACGGAGACAGTATCATCGATCAAAGCACACATCAAGCTGGTGAGCATGGGGTGGGAATGGTGCATGTGGCATGTGGCATGTGGCATGGTTGGTGCATGTGGCATGTGTGGTGCATGTGGCATGTATGGTGCATGTGGCATGTGTGGTGCATGTGGTATGTGTGGTGCATATGGTATGTGTGGTGCATATGGTATGTGTGGTGAGCCGAGCTAATGGCTCAATCGAACATGGCAGGAAGAGAGTATCCAGGCTCAAATCAAGCTGGTGAGCAGTGGGTGGGAATGGTGCATGTGGTAGATGTGTGGTGAACCGAGTTGATGGCTTACTATACAAAGAGATTACCATCACTCGAAGCACACGTAAGGGGAAATGTGCATGTGGTGCCTGTGGTGCCTCGGGAGTTGCTCAATATCTCGAGGTGACTTTTAAATCGACTCCTAAGTTGCAAATTGTCCGTGCGTGGCTTGGCTGCTGTCAGGTGGTGGAAGGGATTCGGGAGTTGCTCAATATCTCGGCTGAAGAAGTGTGACCTTAGACCTAATTGGGTCTGAGATGTGATTATGGTGAAGGGCTTTGTGTGTTGACGAGTTGGCCATGTAGGCGAGAGAGCCGTGAAGCGGCCTTGAATGCCTTTGAGTCGACTCAAAAGCCGTGAAGCGGCCTTGAATGCTTTTGAGTCGACTCAAAAGCCGTGAAGCGGCCTCGAATGAGGTAACAAGACTAGAGCACATTGGATGGGATCATGGGAGGGAGTCTGCATGTGCACGAGTGAACCTCTTGTAAAGATTTGGTCGCCTCAGTCAGCTGACTTTTAAGACTTACCGCTTTAAGTTCTTTCACCATATCCACCCGGATAAGCGCCCCGCTCCCAGGGAACAAGACCCAGGGTCCTTAACTCAGCTAATGGGGCTTATGCCCCTCATTTGATTATCTGCCCCTCGATAATATCCCTGTAGGTAGGGCCTTTCAGGATTGTAAGTCCTTCAAAACAGAGTTACCTTCCCTTGAATCATTTCACCTGGGCCCCCTCCCCTCTAGCATTGGACAAGCCAACTGAACACAGTAACACGTTTTGGTGCTCTTTGCCATTGTGCAGGATCTCCAGCCTTTTCTTTACCATGCTTCCAGAATGCTCGTTAGTATGTACGATGCTACGAGGGCAACAGTACAATAATATGATTAGTACCGGCCGCTACTGTTACGAAGTAACCTGCTCAATAAGTGACATGGTTGTTTCTTTAGAGAGGCCCATGACTGCATCGATGCCACCCACCTGCATGTGGTAACCAGGTAACAATGTGGGGGAGCATTGGAGGAAGGGGCAGAGGAAGGGGCATTGAGAGGAGGGGGCATTGAGAGGAGGGGGGCATCCATCAGCATCGCCGTACCATGTGGCCCCACATCAGCACAGTCTGACAGAGCCACAGGTACATTCACCCTGGAGAACCCATCCATCACACCACACCACACCACCCCACCCCACCCCACCCCACCCCACCCCACCCCACCCCACCTCACCCCACCCTTTCGCCCCCTCTCCTCCCACCCCCATCAACCCACCTAAGGCCCCCTCGTCCCAGCATCCCCTCAAGGTCTTCAGTATGTTCATGTGGCACAAACCTCCCAACTCTCTCCCAAGGACCAATTTCTCACACACACACATAGCTCTCACACATGCCCCTTCCCCCACGCGCATGGCTCTCACACACGCCCCTTCCCCCACACGTATGGCTCTCACACATGCCCCTTCCCCCACACGCATGGCTCTCACACACGCCCCTTCCCCCACACGCACGGCTCTCACACACGCCCCTTCCCACACACGCATGGCTCTCACACACGCCCCTTCCCCCACATGCATGGCTCTCACACACGCCCCTTCCCCCACACGCACGGCTCTCACACACGCCCCTTCCACCACACGCATGGCTCTCACCATCTTCACAACCCGAGGCGCCACCAGGGGATGCGCTACCATCAGGCCTCACTCACAGTCTCATGCCTTTCGTCCACACCTCCCAACGTCCCAGCCGCTGCTTCCCCCTCTCCCCTCTCCCCTCTCACCCCCTTCCCTCTTCCCTCTCCCTCTCTTCCCTCTCCCCTCTCCCCTCTCACCCCCTTCCCTCTTCCCTCTCCCTCTCTTCCCTTTCCCCTCTCCCCTCTCCCCCCCTTCCCTCTCCCCTCTCACCATCTTCTCAACCAATGGCGCCACCAGGGGATGCTCTACCATCAGCCCTCCGGCGCAGTAAAAGATGTCCCCTTCTGCCACCTGCGAGGGGTGCAGAACGGTGCAGTGAGGTGATTGAGTGGCGAAGAGCGTGTGGGTTTGACACCAGCATGTCAGTGCATGCTCCACCATCGGGCCTCCTGCGCAGGAAAACATGTCTCCCTCGGTGGAGAGAGCGGCGCAGAGCTGTGCAGCGTGAGAGTGTAGCTCACTGCGCTTGTGATATTTTCACGGACGTTCCATTTGAACACAGTCACGTCACCCACCGATTGGCCAACCACAGCATCAGGAAGGAAGCGGCTGAGCGTGCACTGCTAACGCCAGCAGTGAACCTCAGCAGTAAGTAACGCCCATTCCTCCTGTGGCCTGCCTTGCCACCTGTCTGGCTGAGGCCTAAGGCTTTAACAACAGCCAAGCTTTACCTGCCCGGCATGGTCCTGGTTCTCGTCTCGTGATACAACACGCCGGGTAAGAGACTTCCCCTTCTGTTGATCAACCATTTCATCTGGAATCGGCCAGATGAAAACCTCTGCAACGTCCACTGCTGCTGCTGCATGTCTGCTGCAACACTGGCCTGCGTGCGACATAGCCCATCCCCACTCACCAACTGATCAACCACATCGTCAGGTATAGGCGGAAGTACACCTCTGCAATGTCCACTGCCGCAGCCTCTGCTCACATGTACTACTAGCTTAGCAACACTCACCAACTGATCAACCACGTCGTCGGGAATAGGCTGGAAGTACACCTCTGCAATGTCTACTGCTTCCGCTTGCCTCCCCGAGTTCAGATTCGACACGAGAACTGCCCCTACAGTGCGGGCAGGGGAGCGCGAATAGCCTCGGATGAACTCCCGAGCCTCAGCTTCGGACCCGGGCTTCTCCAGTATCCGATCCTCGTGCACCACCACCTGGGGGCCGATTGGGAGTTTGGAGAGTTGAAAGGCCTCTAAAGGTTTCGGGGTTTGGAATATCAACATCAGTGCACACGCCAAGTCCTGCTTGGAGGCGCTTCAAAGCACACACCTCAAATGTGCTGACTTGAAACTCCATGCTTGCCGAAGTGGGACCCCAGGTTACGCGAGCGCGTGCGCACGCACACACCCACACACATGAGCACACACACACACACACACACGAGCACACACACACACACACACACACACACACACACACACACACACACACACACACGAGCACATACACACACACATGAGCACACACAAACACACACACACACACACGCGCACACAAACACACACACACACACACAAGCGCGCGCACACACACACACACACACACACACACACACACACACACACACACACACACTCAAACAACTTCACAAAACCTCACACAAGCCACCTCACATAACATATCCCAGCTCTCACTGGGCGAAAAAAAACCCCTTTGGCAATACCTGGTCAGCTGTGATAAGGAGTGTCGGCACAGAAGCATCCTCTGGGAAGCTTCGTTCCTCAGCCTTGAGCTTGGCTAGGAGGGCGTCTGCCTGATGGGGAGAGACACGTGGCACGAGATCATTGGACGATGCAATAAAAGGGTTCCTGGCGCGTACAGAGGCGAAAATAACACAAGAACTTTTGGGCTACTAATGGATCGCACAATATCGGAGATATCCGGCAGTGCACTGTGCCGCAAATACCTGTTAAATTAAAGACGCAGGAGGCTGAAAATACCTTGGCATGTGAGAGAAGGGGGACACACTTCTAATAGTCAAAATAATTTGATGGATTGCACAATAGAGGGGGTAAGTCGAAAGGATGTACTCACCCTGGTGCGTGAGAGGAGCGAGACGCACTAGTTGGGGTCTGGACTTGTGATGAATTGCGCAGTAGAGATGACGAGTCACGAATAAAAAGGAGATGCTTACCTTAGCGTGTGAGAGGAGGGAAACAAGCTCATTTGGATCGGGGCTTCGAATGGCCTCTTCATCTATGCCTGGTTTCTGCACACAAATGAAGATGTGATGTGTGAGAGTGTAATGAGTCAATTTTTTAGTCGACTCAAAAACAGACTCTTCACCTATGCCTGGTTTCTGCACACAAGTGAAGGCGTGTGAGAGGAATCGCGACAGGCGGGGGTGTTTTTATTGAGAATTCCTTAAAAAAAAAGAGCAATATGCCTAAGGTTTTCCCACGTGGATGTGTGAGAGGAAATGCAACAGGAGCGGTGTTATATTGAAAATTCCTAAAAAAAACAATATGTATGGTTTTCCCAAGTGGATGTGTGAGTGAGAGAAGATGCGACAGGAGGGAAAAGCTTTTGAGGCGGCTTTTGAGGCGCCTCAAAAGCAGTTTCCCACGTGGATGGGTGAGAGGAGATGCGACACCGTCAGTTTCTCATTCCGGACCTATCCCTCTCCAGCCCTCATTCCGGACCTATCCCTCTCCAGCCCTCATTCCGGACCTATCCCTCTCCAGCCCTCATTCCGGACCTATCCCTCTCCAGCCCTCATTCCGGACCTATCCCTCTCCAGCCCTCATTCCGGACCTATCCCTCTCCAGCCCTCATTCCGGACCTATCCCTCTCCAGCCCTCATTCCGGACCTATCCCTCTCAAGCCCTCATTCTTAAACCATCCCGCTCACCATCATTCAAAATGTGTGATAGAAGAGTAGTTTTGAGACGGCACGGCACACACAGCATCAGTTCAAACGGCACGCCACTCACACCATCAGTTCAAACGGCATGCCTGTCTTCCTCGACACCTGACGCAGGCTGCTTTACCCTGCATACCTGTTTCAAACATGATTGCGATCAATGCTCTCACCATGATTTCGAACGGCACGCCGATTTCCCGCAGCACCTGCTGCCGGCTCTGCGACGACGACCCTAGAATGATCTGGAGATAGAACGATGAGCGGCGTGTGGAGGGTGAGTAGAGTGGGAGGGTGGGTAGAGTGGGAGAGCGGGAGAGTGGGAGAGTGGGAGAGTGGGAGAGTGGGAGAGTGGGAGAGTGGGAGAGTGGGAGAGTGGAAGAGAGAGGGTTCGAGTGGGTTCGAGTGGGAGAGTGGGAGAATGGGAGAGTGCCTATTACCCGCAGCACCTGCTGCCGGCTCTGCGATGACGACCCCAGAATGATCTGGAGATAGGAGGATGCGGAGTGTGGAGGGTTAGCAGCGGAGTGGAAACTATATCGTACATAGCTTCGTCATTAGCTGACTTTTGAGTCGACTCAAGAGAGGAAGCTTCATCTTACAGAGCTTCATACAGCATCAAAGCTGGACGAGAGCGTTCCACAAACGCCGAGCTTTCTGCTCTTTTCCAACGCGATTCGCTTCCTACCAACGTGATTCGCTTCCTACCAACGCGATTCGCTTCCTATCAACGTGATTCGCTTCCTACCAACGGTTTCCGCGCTTCCTACCCAACAGCTTCCCTGCATTTCGCCAGCGGGCCTACCTGGCAGCTTTTCATGGTTTCTCCCCACTTGAGCGCACGCGGCTCAATCTCGATCCCAGCGGCCCTCACGCGAATTCGCCACGTGGCGCTAGCTCGAGAATCACACCCGGGAAAAACCCCAGCGTGCAATGTGGAGGCCGTAGAGTGGGAAAAGCTGCCAGGAGAAGGAATGTAACAGCCGCAGGTTTGGCTGGCAGCGGAGATGGCTATGGCGCACTGGGACTGAGCGGGAAAATGGCGGGAAAACGGTTGCAGGAACCTAGATACCGCCATGGACCAACTAAGGTAGCTTGTGAGCAATCGTTGGGTTGCTGGTTGCTTTTGATCCGCTGGTGGGAGAGCAGGTTCGCGAAGAAGCAGCGTCCAATTGCGACGACATGCGACGAATTCCCTGCGCATTATTGTTGTGTACGATTCCACTATAAAGGTTATTACAACTATAAGGCTATTACTGTACAGTCGTAACCCGACGAATTTCCCGCGCATTCTGTATAAGCATGAACTTCACATAAGATCACATATCTCCTCAGAAAGTGCTGCCAGGATCCCGCCCGTCCGTGCAACCTCTGCTGGAGTGACCGCTGCTAGATATTTGAGGGCGTGTCCCAAGAGTACGTCCCGCATCCACTGTATGCGGTGATTTACACGGTGAGGAACGGTTTTTATACTCTTTGAACCCTGGGGCACCGTATTGGACCTGTGCTAACTCAAAGGTGGACATACTCTTGGGACACGCCCTGACGTTTCCAGGCTAGCAGTGCTGTGAGGTGTGAAGGACTGAGCACTTCTTGGCAAGGAGTGAGCGCGTCATCAGGAGCATCGCAGCGGGCGTAGCGAGCCAGACTGACGACATTCTAAGATTGACTTTAAACTCGTACTTGGCGACGTGCTACGCTGGTAGCTCTTTGTTCCGTCGAGGCTCTGCCGGACCCTCTCGCAGATCAGGTAGGAATGGGCTACAGTGGAGTCATTTTTCAGAATTGTCTAAGAGACTTAGGGACGTCAGATTCGGCGTGAGGACGCACGCATTGGCTTTTCTCCTGGAGATTAGATTCGGTAGGAATCCGGCAGCAATGGCATCAGATGCCGTAGATTCGACGACGATCTGACGGTGAAGCTGTTTTACACAGATTCGCTGGACTCTCTCCCATTGGCCGCTATCAACCTCGGAGCTTCAGTATAAGTACCAAGTCTTTGAAGATTCGTTACCAGCACTACCTTGATTTCCACAGAATATTATCACCCCGAAGATGCAGATTTTATCCTTTCATGCGACACGCGCCTTGTCGCCGAATTGTCGCAGCTGTTGAACCCGTAGTCCTTATGTCTATAATTCCCCCTTTGTTGCTTGCCGCGCACCTCTTTCGCATCCCTATATCAGGTTCTTGTGTCGCACAACAAACCGGCATTGTCCTTTTCACAGTAAATCCCCCGCCGTGCCAACGATCGGGGTAACAGCAACGATCACCGCCGCGGCATCGATCCGCTAGCTACCCTCGTAGCCGCCTCAGACTTCACGAGCCGAATTCCGTTGGCCAGCCATGCGGCACGGCTCGCGGTCGTCGGGCGTGTTCTCGGCGTCATGGAACGTGTGGATCATGGTCACCATCGCCGCCATCGTCGTTCTCCTTGGCGCGTGGGCTTTCCTGTCCCCGACCAGCAACGCAGTGAGTTCTTTACATGCATTAAAAAGGTGATTCGGCTCCTCTCGGCGTCGTGGAACGTGCGGGTCATGGTCACCGTCGCCGCCATCGTGCTGCTCCTGGGCTCATGGGCCTTCCTTTCCCCGACCAGCAACGCAGTGTGCTCGTCCGATCCCTTGAACTCCATGCTTCTCCGCCGCGTCGTGGGACGTGTGGGTCATGGTCACCATCGCCGCTATCGTGCTCTTCTTAGGCGCGTGGGCCTTCCTGTCCCCTGCTGAAAACGCAGTGAGTTCTAGACACATTAGAACGGATGGTTCGATGGCTTTCGGCGTCGCCAAACGGAACGCCTGAATCCATCATGGTCGCCATCGCCGCCATCGCTGTCCTCTTCGGCACATGGCCCTTCCTCTCCGTGACTGGAAACGCTTCCTCTCCGTGACTGGAAACGCTTCCTCTCCGTGACTGGAAACGCTTCCTCTCCTAGTGTTTCTGCTCGTTGTTTGCTGTTCCCGTCGCTGCTCTTGCTGTTGCTTCGCCAGGCAGTGGAGGCGGTGGCGGAGGAGGAGGAGGAGGAGGTGGAGGACGTGATAGGCGGGTCGGACGCCTCAGGGTACTGCATGCTGATTGCTCTTCTGCTGCTCTTTTCCCCCCTGTCTCGTTCAGGCAGTGGAGGCGGTGGCGGAGGAGGAGGTGGAGGACGTGATAGGCGAGTCGGAGCAGCGGCTGGAGGCTGATGTGAAAGTGGCAGAGGCCATTCAGCGGGCGCACAACGGAGCAAAGGCCAAGGTTGGTGTGGTTTGGGGTCGGGGGTGGACGTGGGAAGGGGGAGAGAGGCGGGCAGATTGGGGAAGGAATAGACAGCTGTCGACTGCTGCTGCTGCTGTCGACTGCTGCTGCTACAGTCGGAACAGAGGCGGGAGGTCGATGTGATGATGGCAGAGGCGATTCAACGGCCGCACAACCGAGAGAAAGGGAACGGAGCGCCGTGGTGGAATTAGAGTGTCGTTAAAAGGGGTCTCTCTTTGGTTCGCTCTCGTCTCTTCCCCCTCCATCCCACGCCCAGGACGTCCATGTGGAATCAGAGCAGTGGGCTTGCAGAAGAGACTCTCAAGCCCAGCCTTCTCCCTCTCTGGTCTTGGCCCTTACAGTTCCCCCTCAATCACCTCCTCCCTCCCTCCCTCCCTCCCTCCCTCCCTCCCTCCCTCCCTCCCTCCCTCCCTCCCTCCCTCCCTCCCTCAATCCCTCCCTCCCTCACTCCCTCCCTCAATTCCTCCCACTTCAGGACGTGGAGGTAGAGTCAGAGTCCAGCAGCGGCCTAGCAGAAGAGACGGGAGTTGAGGGAGCCGGGGAGGAGGACGAGCGGGGGGGGAATGAAGAGGTCGGAGGGCAGAGAGGGGGGAAAGGAGGAGAGGAGGAGGAAGAGGGAGGTGGAGAAGAGGAGGAGGTAGCCGATGCTGGGGGAGCAGGGAAGGGGGAACGAGGAGGAGGTGGAGGGAAGGAGGTTACTGAAGAGGGGGGTGAGGAGGGGGAAGTGGAGGGAGGGGGAGGAGGAGGGAAGGAGGAATCTGCGAGTGAGGAGGAAGGGGGGTCGGAAGGAGCGGAAGAGGAGGAAGAGGAGGGAGGGAAGCCTGCTCCTCCGAAGGGAATGAAGGGGAAGAAAGGTGGAGAGGGAGAGGAGGCAGCAGGCGAGGAGGGAGGGGAGGGAGCAGAGGGTGCAGAGGGAGAGGGGGAGGACGAGGGGGGTAAGGCTGCCGGGAACTCTAAGGTGAGACCAGTCACATGATGAAAGTAGGCTTTATTTGAGACGTCTCAAAATAAACCTACTCTTTCGAACTCTAAGGTGAGACCTGTCTCATGATGAAAGTGGGTTTTATTTGAGACGTCTCAAAATAAAACTACTTTTCCGAACTCTAAGGTGCGACCTGTCTCATGACTAGTGAAGCCCTTTGAGTCATTTTTTTAGCTGGCTATGAATCGTCTGTCGAACCAGCTGTGAGTCGATTCAAAAGAGGAGTGTGGCGTCCTGGGATTGCGTTTCAAAGCTTCATGGGAATTCATTAACGCATTCCCATGTAGCTCTGAGCTACTAGGGAATCACCCTGGTGGATCCGATCGGGATTTACTCAGCAGCAGGTCCAAGCATTGCCCTAGCTTGAACGATATTAGGGGACCCTCCCTCTGCTGTTTTTGGTTGGTGATAGATTTTTCCCGTCCATCCAACACTGTTTCGCTGCTGGCCCAGCACAGCAGCTATCGAGGCAGCAGTCGACAGCAGCAGCAGCAGCAGCAGCAGCAGCAGCAGCAGCAGCAGCAGCAGCAGCAGCAGCAGCAGCAGCAGCAGCAGCAGCAGCAGCAGCAGCAGCAGCAGCAGCAGCAGCAGCAGCAGCAGCAGCAGCAGCAGCAGCAGCAGCAGCAGCAGCAGCAGCCAGCAGCAGCAGCAGCAGCAGCAGCAGCAGCAGCAGCAGCAGCAGCAGCAGCAGCAGCAGCAGCAGCAGCAGCAGCAGCAGCCAGCAGCAGCAGCAGCAGCAGCAGCAGCAGCAGCAGCAGCAGCAGCAGCAGCAGCAGCAGCAGCAGCAGCAGCAGCAGCAGCAGCAGCAGCAGCAGCAGCAGCAGCAGCAGCAGCAGCAGCAGCAGCAGCAGCAGCAGCAGCAGCAGCAGCAGCAGCAGCAGCAGCAGCAGCAGCAGCAGCAGCAGCAGCAGCAGCAGCAGCAGCAGCAGCAGCAGCAGCAGCAGCAGCAGCAGCAGCAGCAGCAGCAGCAGCAGCAGCAGCAGCAGCAGCTGCCCCCCCGGCAATCCGGCATCAGACCTGAGGGCAGAGAGCAGCAGCTCAGAGGCGTGCATTGGGCTCAACTTTCTGCTCCCCCCTCCCTTGTCGGTTTGAGGTGCCCCAAAAGGGCAAAAAGCAGCAAGTGATTTACCCCTACCCCCCCACCCCTTATCCTTTACCGCTACCTCCCTATTCCTGGGCAGTTTTTCACTGCTGACCCAGCAGCAATTGAGGCAGCATGGGACTCAGAGGATGCAGCCGCAGCAGACCCCAACGTCCCTGCTGCAGACCTGAAAACCGAAAGCAGCAGCTCGGAGGCAGGCAGTGGGCTCAAGTCCCAGGCAAGGGAGTCGGAGGAGGAAGCACGGCTGGACATTCGTGAGGCTGCCACGAAGGAGCAGGACAGCAAGCAGACGGAGGTAGGGGGCTGGAGAAGCTTGGATGTTTGTTGTATTCTGTGTTTTGAGGTGGCTCATAAGAGGCCAGGAGTGGGCTCAAGTCTCAGGCAAGGGAGTCGGAGAAGGAAACACGGCTGGACATTCGTGAGGCTGCTATGGAGAACCAGGACAACAAGCAGACGGAGGTAGGGCAGGGATTGGGGGAAAGCAGTAACTGGGGAGGAGGAGGGGGAGTGTCCTCGCCACTATCGACCTCGAGCGCATCAAGTTTCTCTGGCCCTCGTGCCGTGCAGTGGTAACTGCGCAGACTGGCCCGATTCCTTCACTCGTCCATCTCTCCGTCTTCTCCCCTTTTCCTTGTGCTGCGCCTGATTCACCAGGACGACTTTGGGGAGGTGGAGGGGGGAGCAGCGGTCATCCCGAGCAACCCTGGAGACACCAAACCGCCGCTGATGGCCGGCCCTGTGGGGCAGGGCACCGGGGAGGAAGGAGGCGGTGTTCTCCCCACCATTGATCTCGAAAACACCAAGTTCCAGTGGCCCTCGTGCGGTGGTAACCGCACAGACTGGGTGCCGTGTTTGGATAATGAGAAGGCGATCAAATCCCTGAGGACGAACAAGCACTACGAGCACCGGGAACGGCACTGCCCGGTGCCTGAGGAGATGGAGAAGTGCCTTGTGCGGCTGCCAGAAGGGTACAAGGCGCACGTGCCGTGGCCCGAGAGCAGAGACCAGGTGAGACGCGGTGCAGTGCGGTGGAAGAAAACGGGTGAAATGTGGGGTGGGATGAGGTGAGAGGCCATGCGATTAATTTTGAGTCGACTCAAAAATCATGTGGGGTGGGATGAGGTGTGAGAGGCCATGCGATGAAGGACCAGAAGTGGGTGGCCATGCATCAAGAGTCAAGACAGGCTCGGGTCCCTCCCTTTGCACACAGGGTCTTTTTTAGAGTTCTCAAGAAGACCCTGCTACTCCAGGGACAAGCATGCTCTTCCTTCACTGCCTCTCCTCTCCCCCAGAAGGTGTAATCCAGCAGTGCGTCACCCCCTTCTTCTCCCCTTCCCCATCTGTCCCTCTCAACCAGTCCTTTATTATGATTATAAAGGGTACAGGGGTACAAGCGGGGCGATGCATGTCCTAGGACCCCATCTGTCTCTCTCTCTCTCCCCCCCAGGTGTGGTACAACAACGTGCCGCACCCCGGCCTGGCGAGCTACAAGAAGGACCAGAACTGGGTGGCCATGCAGGGAGACAAGCTCGTGTTCCCGGGAGGGGGCACCCAGTTCACGCATGGAGCCACTGGATACATCAACTTCGTTCAGAAGGTGAGATTTGGTGGAGTGCGGTGGACTGGGGTAGGCTGTGGTGTACAGGATGTTCCAGGAGGGGGCAGGCAATTCACGCACAGGCCACAGGATACATCAACTTCTTTCAGAAGGTGCGGTGCGGTGCGGTGTGGTGCGGTGTGGTGTGGTGGGGTGCGGTATGGCGCGGTGCGGTGTGGTGTGGTGTGGTGTAATCTACTGCAGTGCTTCTAGGAGGGGACACGCAGTTCATACATGGGGCCACCGGGTATATCAACTTCGTTCAGAAGGTGAGATTTGAGGGATTACGGTGGAGTGTGGTACGGTACGGTATTGTGTGGCATACTTGATGTCTCCAGGAGGGGGCACTTATTTCCCGCACATGGTCCCACGGGATGCATCAGCTTTGCCGAGAAGGTGTCATGTGAGACGGTGTGATGCGGTGTGATGCGGTGTGACGTGGAGTGATGCGGTGTGACGTGGAGTGATGCGGTGTGATGCGGTGTGATGCGGTGAGATGCACAGACATGGTGTGGGGCTGTGGCATGGGGCTGCAGTTTACCATACCACATTCAAGTTACAACCCTCTCTAAACCCCTTTCACTTCTTCCAGTCCCCCAGCGCCCCCCTCCCCCACCCTCCCACCTCCCTTTACCCCAGGCCTTCCCTGAGTGCATGCGAGTCATCGCGGGCATGGGCTATGGGGTGGCATGTTGACATGCTCTTAAAGCCCTTCTCCCCCATTACACCCCCCTTCCCTCTAGGCCTTCCCCGACGTGGTGTGTGGCATGCGCGTGCGAGTCATCGTGGGCGTGCTTTGAGACGCGTCAAAACACGTCTATGATACCACGCGCGTGCAAGCCATCGTGGACGTGGGCTGTGGCGTGTCATGGAGTCACCAAGCCCGTCATGTCATACTTACCCCCCCTCAAACACAACCCAACACCCCCCCACCCCATCCCACCGCATCAGGCCTTCCCCGACGTGGCATGGGGCAAGCAAGTGCGAGTCATCCTTGACATGGGGTGTGGGGAGGCGCAACCAGGTCCTCGATTCATAACCACCCCACCCAGACCTGCCCCGACATGGCGTGGGGCATTTTGATGCAAGTTATTCTCAGTCATGGGCGGTGGGCTGGCGTGGAATAACCAAATGCCATACGTAACCTCCCCACCACCCCCCCCAACACAACCCCACACCCTCCCACCCCCTCCCACTGCATCAGGCCTTCCCCGACGTGGCATGGGGCAAGCGCGTGCGAGTCATCCTTGACATGGGGTGTGGCGTGGCCAGCCTGTCGGCGTATCTGGACCAGTTTGACGTGCGTGTGATGTCCATGGCGCCCAAGGACGAGCACGAGGCACAGGTGAGAGCGAGGCAGGGGTGATGGATGGGGTCTCAAGGTGGTGGCCTGGCATTATCATCTGGACCAGTTTGACGTGCGAGTGATGTCCATGGCGCCCAAGGACGAGCACGAGGCACAGGTGGGTGGGACAGAGGCAGAGGTGAGGGTGACATGGGGTTAAGGGCGGTATCAGGCCTGTCGGAGTATCTGGAGCCGTTTGACGTGCGAGTGATGTCCATGGCGCCCAAGGACAAGCACGAGGCAGGGGTGAGAGCGAGGCAGGGGTGAGGATTAAGGGTATGGTGAGGTATTGACGTCCCAGGTTAACTAGCTCCACTCATCTTCTTATCTCTCAACTGCTTCCATTTCCCTCCCTGACTGCCATCAATTCTATTCACAAATCTCCAACCAAGCAAGTTTCTACAAAACCTTTTTACCAAGCATGTCTAAGTTGTTGCCACTTTAAGACCATGGCCCCCCAGTGGTGTTCACTCGGTCTTATCTTCTCAACTACGTCCATTTCCCTCCCTTTCCTTCCCCATTCAATTTTTGAGGCGCCTCAAAAATCCTTTCCTTCCCCATTCAGATCCAGTTGGCTCTTCTTTTTAGGCGCCTCAAAAATAGACTCCAATTTCGCTCCCTTTCCTTCCCATTAAAAAATAGACTCCCATTTCCCTCCCTTCCCTTCTCCATTCAGATCCAGTTGGCTCTGGAGCGGGGAGTGCTGGCGGTGGTAGGGGTGATGGGCACGCAATGATTGACCCAGATCGACTCAACTCCTTCCTACTCCCTCCCTTTCCCCCCTTCCCCAGATTCAACTTGCGCTAGAGCGGGGAGTGCTGGCGGTGGTGGGGGTGATGGGCACGCAGCGGCTGCCCTTCTCCTCCAACTCCTTTGATGCTGTGCACTGCGCTCGCTGCCGCGTGCCGTGGCACATTGATGGTAGGCGCGCTCTTGTGTACGTGCACAGACACACACACACACACACACACACACACACACACACACACACACACACACACACACACACACACACACACACACACACACACACACACACACACACGCGACAAACACACACACACAGCCCTCTGTCTCGCAGCGACTGCCCTTCTCCACAAACTCCTTTGATGCTGTGCTCTGCGCTCGCTGCCGCGTGCCATGGCATATCGATGGTGAGTAGACTCTCATCCACGCATGTGGCCACCCATACGCACGCATGCACTGCACACACTCACACAGTCCCCACTCTCGCAGCAACTGCCCTTTTCCTCCACTGCACTGCACTGCACTCGTTGCCAGGTGCCATGGCACATTGGTGGTACCTATGCGGTTGAGCAATGGCATGTTGCTGGGTTTGGCCTATGTGGTGCTGGTGCTCGTCGCATGCTACCCTGGATGGATCTTCTGCTGCCTGCGCTGGTGCTGAAACAATTCCGAGATGCTGATTTTTTTATCTGAAGTTCTTTGGCTGTAGGATCTGCTTCGCTAACAAAATCTCTTTGGAATTACCGCACCCTTTCTGCCAGGTGGCATGCTGCTATTGGAGCTGAACCGTGTGCTGCGGCCAGGCGGGTATTTCATCTGGTCGGCCACGCCTGTGTACCGCAAGAAAGGGGACGACGAGGAGATCTGGAGCGGTGAGTGTGTGGACTTGAGTGGAGGCGTGAGTGTGAGTGCATGGAAAGAGGAGCGCACGGAACGGGGAGTGTGTGGAGGAGTGTCAGTATGTGGAGTAGATTTGTGTTTCATCTGGCCTGCCACACCTGTGTATCGCAAAGAGCGGAATGCCAAGGAGATCTGGAGTGGTGAGTGGATGGAGCAGTGAGTAGATGGAGCGGTGAGTGGATACAGGGATGATTAGTAGGACGTGGACTGCACTGGACTGTCTCAAATTCAACCTCATCTTCCCCCTTACGCCCCTCATCGGGTGGATGGTAGGTTAAGAGCATCACTCTCCCACTCATTCTCTTTCTCTTATACCCACTCACTCTCCTCGCACCACACACGCACACTCGCCCCACATCCCACGTCCCACATCCCCCACTCCAGCCAGCCATGCTTGATCTTGCTGACCGCATGTGCCGGGCGCTCAAGGTACTTGATTCTGCAGGGTGTTTTTGAGAATTCTTAAAAACACCCTGCAAGGTACGAGTCACTTGAGATCTAGTTTTGTGGCGCCTCAAGACAAGAAGGTGCCTCAAGATGGTTTGGACAATGCTGGTGCGGCCATGTGGCAGAAGCCCTCTGACTCACCCAACCTCCCCCCCAGCAGTACCCACCCCCCCCCACTTTCAGGCATGACTGACCTTGCTGACCGCATGTGCTGGACGCTCCAAGGTCCGAGAGAAGGAGGATGGGCTGGGCAATGTGGGCGTGGCCGTGTGGCAGAAGCCAGCTGGCAACACCCACTCATTCCAAATCAACCCATCCCCCCTCCCCCCCCTACCCTCCCCTGCTCCCTCCACTTCCTCCCCCCCCCCCCGTCACTTTCCTGCAGCCATGACGGACCTTGCTGACCGCATGTGTTGGACTCTGAAGGTCCGGGAGAAGGAGGACGGGCTGGACAATGTGGGCGTGGCCGTCTGGCAGAAGCCCTCTGACAACCGGTGCTACAGCGAACGCGGCGCGGAAACAGCCCCTCCCATGTGTGAATCGGACGACAACCCTGATGCTGCTTGGTGAGAAGGAAGGGGAAGGAGGTGGGAAGGGGGGGGGGGGACAGCCGGAGGAGTGGTCGGGATCCTTCCCTGTTCCTTCCCAGGGGGGAGTGGTAGTGAAGGCGATGCAGTGGGCGCCAGCTATGTGCCCATGAAAGCATGCCTCATCCCTTGCCGGCATTAACGGCAGGGAGGGTGGCGCAGTGCGCCACCATGGGTAGGGTGGCGCAGTGCGCGGCCATGGGGAGGGTGGCGCCGTGCGCGGCCATGGGGAGGGCAAAGCTGAGGGCCTTGCTGGTGTCAGCTTCATTCTCGCATGGTGCGTCACATTGAAGCTGTGGGTGTTGTTGCGTGGTGATTCTTTAATGCTCCTTCATTCTCTTATTTCGCCCTATCCGCCCCTCTACGGGCCGGCCAGGTATGTCCCAATAAGAGCCTGTCTGCACCCTGTACCTGCGTTCAAGAGCGTAAGTGAGAGAGTTTTTAGAACTGTTATAAGTCTCTCTTACGCCTGCACCCTGTACCTGCTTTCAATGGTGTGCGAGCAGCGCAGTGGCCGGCCATGGGCAGGGCGAGGCTGTGGGCCATGTGCCTGCTGTCTCTCCACCTCTCTTCCATCCTTTTTCTATCCCCCCCCCACTCATCTCTATCCCCAGGTACGTGTTTATGAAGGCATGTCTGCACCCCATGCCAACGTTCAAAGGCGTGAGGGCGGTGCAGTGGCCGGCCATGGGGAGGGCGAGGCAGAGGGCCGTGTCGGTGTGCCGGTGTGGCACAGGCTGTTTCCCTCGATCACGCCTCTTCCTATTCTATCTCCCACCCCCCACCACGCCAGGTATGTCCCCATGAAGGCATGTCTGCACCCCGTACCAGCGTTCAAGGGGGTGAGGGCGGCGCAGTGGCCGGCCATGGGGAGGGCGAGGCTGAGGGCCGTGCCGGCGTGGCTGCAGATGCTGAGGCGAGGGGTGTTTGGCGGGCCGGCTGTGGCTGAGATGAAACGCGACCAGGTGAGATGAAACGCAACCAGGTGACGCGACCAGGTGAGATGAAATGCGACCAGGTGAGATGAGATCAAACGAGAGCAGGTGAGATGAAACCCACCTTCTTTGGACTACTGAAGTTATCGGAACTTCACACGAGTGGTGGATGAACCCCTTGTTTCTTTGTCTCTCCTCTGCTGTTACGTACTTTCTCCCCCGGTCGGTGAACTGGAAGAAGGTGGTTGCTTTCTACAATGCGTCGTTCGGCTTCGATTCATTTTGCGCCGTTCTTTCGTTCTTCTGTCCACCTCTGCTTCTCCCCCCCTCCTCCCTCCCCCCAGATCCACTGGGAGAAGGTGGTCGCCTTCTACAATGCGACTTTTATCATCTCACCTTCTTTTGTCCACCACTGCTTCTCCCCTCCTCCCTCCCCTCATCCCCCCCCTCCTCCCTCCCCTCCTCCCTCCCCTCCTCCCTCCCCTCCTCCCTCCCCTCCTCCCTCCCCTCCTCCCTCCCCTCCTCCCTTCCCTCCTCCCTCCCCTCCTCCCTCCCCTCCTCCCTCTCCTCCTCCCTCCCCTCCTCCCTCCCCTCCTCCCTCTCCTCCTCCCTCCCCTCCTCCCTCTCCTCCTCCCTCCCCTCCTCCCTCCCCTCCTCCCTCCCCTCCTCTCTCCCCTCCTCTCTCCCCTCCTCCCTCCCCTCCTCCCTCCCCTCCTCTCCTCCCCCAGATCCACTGGAAGAAGGTGGTTGCTTTCTACGACGCCTCGTTTGGCATCGATTGGAGCACAGTGCGGAATGTGATGGACCTGAACGCGCACTACGGGGGGTGAGTGTGACTCAATGGTGCGCTCTGGGTGTGGTCCCATGAGCTTGATGGTCTTTGGGGCACAGTGCGGAATGTGATGGCCCTGAATGCGCACTATGGTGAGAGGGTGTAGTGTTATGGGGAGGAAGTGTGACTGTATGGAGAGGGGGCTTTTTAGCAATTGCACTCGGAGGTTCACCTCGTAATGTTCGGAGGATGGTGAGTGAGGAATAACGTGATTGGACATGAACGCCCTGTACGTAGTGGGAGGAGGTATGGCTGTATGGTTGTATGGCTGTATGGCTGTATGGCTGTGTGGCTGTATGGCTGTATGGCTGTGTGGCTGTATGGCTGTATGGCTGTATGGCTGTATGGCTGTATGGCTGTGTGGCTGTATGGCTGTATGGCTGTATGGCTGTATGGTTGTATGGCTGTATGGCTGTGTGGCTGTATGGCTGTATGGCTGTATGGCTGTATGGCTGTATGGCTGTATGGCTGTATGGCTGTATGGCTGTATGGCTGTATGGCTGTATGGCTGTATGGCTGTATGGCTGTGTGTCTGTATGGTTGTATGGCTGTGTGGCTGTATGGCTGTAAGACTGTATGGCTGTTATTTATTGGAGCACAGTGAGAAACGTGATGGATATGGATGAATATTAGTAGGCACCTCAGAAATGCACGTGACTGTAAAGCAATGTATGGGGCGGGTGTGATTATATGGAGAGGGGGCTTTTCAGTAATGACGCTCAACGTCGCACTTGGAGCTGATGGGAGCGCTGTGAGGAAAGGATGTGAGTGACATGAATGCACCACTATTGAGGCGCCTCAAAATTCGCCTAAAAAATGTGATGCACATGGATGCACATGGATGCACATGGATGCACATGGATGCACACTCTATGATCCCCCAATATCCTCTCTTTGCCCCCTTCCCCGCCCCTGCCTGTTTCCCTTTCCCTCCCCCCTTCTTTCCTTACTGTCAAGAAGACGCGGTGGGTGCCGAACGTGGTGCCCACAAGTTTCTAGAGGCAGCATATAACCCAGCTCTCCCCACCCACCTCCTCCGACTCTTTCCCTGCTCCCTCGACTTCTCAACTTTGTGGCAGAGCCGGCAGTGGCAAAGAAGCCGCCATGGGTGTTGAACGTGGTGCCTACGAGGCACCAAGGGGCCTAACTCCCTCATCTCCCACCCGCCTCCCCCTCCCGCCTCTCCCCGCTCCCCACCCCTCCCCTGTCCCCCCTCGCCCCTCTTCAGCTGTGCAGCGGAGCTGCCAGTGGCAAGGAAGCCGCTGCGCGTGGTGAACGTGGTGCCTACAAGCAGGCCTAAATCCCTCTTAATACTGTTTGAGCGCGGGCTCTTGGGCATCTACCACGAGGGGTGCAAGATGCTCAACTCGAACCCACCCACTATTCCCGCAACCCCTCCTTTCCCCCATCCCCAGCTTTGCACCGGAACTGGCATTCAACTCGTGCCTGTGCCGCCAGGCATGCTTACTCACTACCACTCCTTCCCCGCTCTGCCTGCCACCCGCCCCCACTCTGCCTGCCACCCGCCCCCCACTCCATTCCCCCCAGCTTTGCAGCCGAGCTGGCAGTGGCAAAACAAAGCCTCTCTGGGTGAACGCGGTGCCCCCTGACTCCCTCCCCATAGTCTTGAGCGCGGGCCAGTGGGCAACTACCACGAGTGGTGCAAGGTGCTCAACTTGCAACCACCCAGTATTCCCTCACCCCCCTTTTCCCCCACCCACTATTCCCCCACCCCCGGTTTCCCCCCTCCCCAGTTTTGCAGCAGAGCTGGCAGCGTCAAAGAAGCCACTCTGGGTGCTCAACGTGGTGCCTTCCAGCGGCCCTGACACACTGCCCACACTGTCTGCCCACACTGGCTGCCCACACTGTCTGCCCACACGGCCCAGCTGCCCACACTGTCTGCCCACACGGCCCATCTGCCCACACTGGCAGCCCGCACGGCCCAGCTGCCCACACTGTCTGCCCACGCGGCCCAGCTGCCCACACTGTCTGGGCACGGGCTGGTGGGGATCTTTCTCAGTCCGCTCCTCCCCTCCCCCTGATCCCTGCCCCTCCTCCCTCCTCTCCCCAGCTTTGCAGCAGAGCTGGCAGTGCTGAAGAAGCCGCTCTGGGTGCTCAACGTGGTGCCCACCAGCGGCCCAGACTCCCTCCCCATAGTGTTTGAGCGCGGGCTGGTCGGCATCTACCACGACTGGTGCGAGGCGTTCAACTCGTACCCGCGCTCATACGACCTGCTGCATGCCGACCACACGGTGTCGCAGGAGGTTGGCAGGTGAGAAAATGTGGCAGGTGAGAGAACGTGGGAGGTGAGAGAACGTGGGAGGTGAGAGAACGTGGGAGGTGAGAGAACGTGGAAGGTGAGAGAACGTGGAAGGTGAGAGAACGTGGGAGGTGAGAGAACTGGGCAGATAGGCGGGATTAGGTGGAGCGCGAGTGACAGTGCATTCAGTGCTCCTCTTGTCCCTCCCCATCCTCTCTCCCCATCCTCTCTCCCCATCCTCTCTCCCCATCCTCTCTCCCCATCCTCTCTCCCCATCCTCTCTCCCCATCCTCTCTCCCCATCCTCTCTCCCCATCCTCTCTCCCCTTCCTTTCTCCCCATCCTCTCTCCCCATCCTCTCTCCCCATCCTCTCCCCCCATCCTCTGCCCCCCCCCCCACCACATGTGACGTCATGTTCATCCTGCTTGAGATGGTCCGCATTCTTCGCCCCGAGGGGTGGCTGGTTCAGAGACATTTCAGGGCCGTCTTGTATTACGCTCCTCTGGTATTTTCCTTCCTCTGTTCCTCCCACCCCGAGCAGGTGCGACGCCACGCTGGTCCGGCTTGAGATGAATTGGGATCGCAGAGGTGACTTTTGAGTCGACTCAAAAGTCGCCTCGTGGGGGAGGCGCGACTGAGACGAATCAGGATCGCAGAGGTGACTTTTGAGTCGACTCAAAAGTCGCATCGTGGGGGAGGTGCGACCAAGACGAATCAGGATCGCAGAGGTGACTTTTGAGTCGACTCAAAAGTCACCTCGCGGGGGAGGCGCGACCGAGACGAATCAGGATCGCAGAGGTGACTTTTGAGTCGACTCAAAGTCGCCTCGTGGGGGAGGCGCGACCGAGATGAATCAGGATCGCAGAGGTGACTTTTGAGTCGATTCAAAAGTCGCCTTGTAAGGGAGGCGCGACCGAGGCGAATCAGGATCGCAGAGGTGACTTTTGATTGGACTCAAAAGTCGCCTTGTAGGGGAGGCGCGACGAAGCAGGACCGCATTATATTCTCCTCCTTCTCTTGTATTCTCCCCTTCCTCTGTTCCCCCCACCAGGTGCGACGTCACGTTTGTCCTGCTCGAGATGGACCGCATGCTTCGCTCTGAGGGGTGGGTGGCTTCTGAGATGTCTCAAGATTTTATCATAGTCAATGTTCCTCTCCTCCTTCCTTTCCTTGTCCATCCCTCTGTTCCTCCCATCCCCACCAGGTGCGACGTCACATTCGTCCTGCTTGAGATGGACCGCATGCTTCGCCCCGAGGGGTGGGCGATTTTCCGTGACCATGCACACATGGAGGGGTCAATTCGCAACCTGGCGGCTTCCTTCCACTGGCGCCTCAAGTTCAACAAGACGGAGGCAGGCGAGGTGCTGCTGGCGTTCCAAAAGACCTTCTGGCGACCCAAGGAAGAGGCTTGATGCTGTAATTAGAGGATTGACTTTACAAATGGATGGCTCTATTCACAACCCGGCGGCTTCCTTCCACTGGCGGCTCAAGTTCAACAAGACATGGGCCGGCAGCGAGGTGCTGCAGGCTTTGCAAAAGACCTTCTGGTGACCCAAGGAGGATGCTTAATGCCTAATGCTTGATGCTTGTATTAGAGGGTTGGATTTTAACTGAGGTGATTTCTGTATAGGCTGACCATAACTTTCGCTGGAGGTTTGGGCTTCTGAAACATGGTTTTCCACCATCCAAGAGAGAGGCTTGACTTCCCTGGATGCTATACCGTACTTTCTGTTCTGACCAGTGCAGCAAGGTTTCCTGCTAACGTACCGATACCGTTTGAATCCTGCCAGGCTTGGATGGATGGATGGAGGGAGGGAGGGGGCAGTATTGGCTGCTGGCCACCAGGAGTCTCCTCTCTTCTTTCCATTGGCAGCTCAGTACTCAACCTGACAGAACAGAAGGTGCTGGACTTGAAGCCCTCTAGGGCTTTTGAGTTTTGAGTCGACTCAAAAGCAGATCCTGGCCTGGCGGCCAGGTGTCTCCTTCTGAAGGCAGCCAAGAGTTTCCTGTTTCCATTGGCAGCTCTAATTTTCCCTGACAGTACAGAAGGCGCTAGATTTGAAATCATGTGGGCTTGCCTTGCCTCAATGCTACAGTATATTTCTTTAGAATGTTGGCTCGGTTTGGCTTCTCCCATGGTGTTGGTCTTAGCGTAATCTAATAATTAGGAAACATAGCATACATGGAATATAAGATAGGAGGTTTGTGTCAAACATCTGTATTTGTTATGTTTGTATAGACTGTATAGGGTTACCTCTTAGAGGGTACAACACTTAGGTATATTTGTGTGTACTCTCACTTTACCATTATTCAATTCCAATTCTAATATGGTATCACGCGTAGGTAGGATCCCCCCCACCTACCGCTTCCGCTCATGCCCCCTAGCGCCCCTCCTGGGCCCCGTCGCGCTCCTCCCAGGCCTCGTCGCGCCCCTCCTGGGCTTCGTAGCGCCCCTCCTGGGCCCTGTAACGCCCCTCCCAGGCCCCGTCGCGCCCCTCCCAGGCCCCGTCGCGCTCCTCCCAGGCCCCCTCGCGCCCCTCCTGGGCCCCGTCGCGCTCCTCCCAGGAACCGTAGCGCCCCGTCGCGCCCCTCCTGGGCCCCGTAGCGCCCCTCCTGGGCCTCGTCGCGCCCCTCCTGGGCTTCGTAGCGCCCCTCCTGGGTCTCGTCGCGCTCCGCCCAGGCCCCGTAGCGCCCCTCCTGGGCTCTGTCGCACCCCTCCTGGGCCACGTCGCACCCTGCCCGACCCCGTCGCAGCCGCCAGGCCTCGTCGCGCCCGCCCGGCGCCGTCGCAGCCGCCCGGCCCTGTCGCGCTCGCCCGGCGCCGTCGCGCCCGCCCGGCCCCGTCGCAGCCGCCTGGCCCCGTCGCGCCCGCCCGGCCCCGTCGCAGCCGCCTGGCCCCGCCGCCCTTGCCTGACCCCGTCGCAGCCGTCCGGCCCCGTCGCCCCCGCCCGGCCCCGTCCCACCCTGCCCGGCCCGGTCGCAGCCGCCCGGCCCCGTCGCACCCGCCCGGCCGCCGTCCCGCTCGCCCGGCCCCGTCGCACCGGCCCGGCCCTGCCGTACTCGCCCGGCCCCGTCGCCCCAGCCCGGCCCCGTCGCGCCCGCTCGGCCCCGTCGCCCCGTCCCGGCCCTGTCGCACCAGCCCGGCCCCGTCGCGCCCGCCCGGCCCCGTCGGGCCAGCCCCGGCCCCGTCCTCCTCACTGGTACGGTTCCCCCCCACCCCGCCCTGCGCCGTGCCGCCCCGCACCACACTGTACTGCCTGGCACCGCACTACCCCGCACTACACCGCACTGCACTGCACTGCACCGCACAGTACCGCACTGCACCGCACTGCACCGCACTGCACCGCACTGTACCGCACTGCACCGCACTGCACCGTACTGCACCGCACTGCACTGCCCTGCACTGCACTGGACTGTTCCTGATGGCGGCGGAGCTTCGCTTCGACGCTGAAGGTCAGCCCCTAGAGTTCGAGGCGTGGCTTGCCGACCTCCGCCGTCAACTCACTGGCCAGCGGCAGGATGGTGAACCGCTTTCCGCACACCTTGACGGTACGCTCCCCTGCCCAGACCCCCCTGCTATTCTGCCCGCTGACCCCACACCCACTGAGCGTGAGGCTACTGCTGCCACTGCCCGTGCGCGCTCTGTCTGGCTTTCTCGCGATGCTGTTGCCCAGCTTGCCATTAGCAACGCCCTTCCCCCATCCGAGCGTCCTCGCTTTAGGTCCCTCACTACTGCTCAGGCATACTTAGATGCTGTGATCAAGCGCTATTCCACCCCTCCGGCTGCCTCGGTGGGTCGCCTGATCCTTCCGCTGCTCTTTCCTGACCTTGCATCTTTCCCCACTGTCTCTGACCTCGCTGCCCACCTGCGCTCGATAGATGAGACCTGGCGCGCTGCCTGCACTGACGCCCAGCTTAGAGCCCACCAGCCGCCCATTACCTCTACCCTCTACCTGCTTGCCACCCGCCTCCCTGACCGCCTTGCTGTCGCCCGCGACCGCTTTCTTAGCGTTCACCCCGCAGACCTCACCCTCACTGACTTTGTAGACACCCTGACTGTGATAGAGACCCGTCACCGCTCCATTTCCCAGGCGAGCGGTATCGTGCCGGTCCCTATCTTTCAGGGTTGTGCCCCCGCTCAGTGCACCTTCTCCGACGGCTCTGCCGCAGTGGCTGAGACTGCTGCTGCAGCGCAGGTCCGTTCGGGGAAGGGCCGCCACCCCAAGGCTGGGCGCGGCGGAGGAGGCGGCGGGGGTGCGGGCGGGGGTAGTGGTGGGGTCGGGTCGCCTGGTGCTGGAGTGGACGAGGGGACCCTGCCCAGTTCAGCTGAGTCGCCGCCCCTGCAGGTGCAGCAGCCGCAGCAGCCGTCGCAGACGCGGCAGACGAGTGTCCTCCCGCCCGGGTGGCCCGGCGCTGGCGGTGGCTGGGCGCGTGGTGGTGTGCCGCGTGGTGGCTCTGGCGGCGGGCGTTGTCAGTACCAGATCCAGACCGGTCCTCGCCGCGGCTTCGTTTGCGGTAAGCTCGGTCACTCCACTCCCCGCTGTTTTCGTCGCCTGGACGACCTCTTTCGTCAGCGCTTCGGCCCGTCGCCAGACCTCCCGGACTGGCACAGTTTGCTTAGTCGTCAGATTCAAATTTTTGATATGGACATGGATGCCATTGTTTCTGCTCTGCATGTGATGTATGCTGATGACTCTAGTGTGCTTCCCGCTTACTACTCACTGTTGCCTAGTGTATGTGTGCCTAGCTTAGCCTCCCCTGCTGCGTCAGGCGTAGGATCCCCTGCTTTGTGTAGTCTTGGTGCTTCCGCCGTCGTTCCGTCGCCAGACCCCTCGGCTTCGCTTTCCTTCACCTTGGACTCTGGCGCCTCTTGGTGTTTCTTCCGCGACTCTACCACCCTGACTCCGCTTCCTGTTCCTGCTGCCGTTTCTCTTGCTGACCCCTCCGGCGGTCAGGTAGTCGCCCGCAGTTCCACCACCCTTCCCTGTCCGGCGGTTCCTTCGGGTTCTCTTACACGTCTGCATATCCCCTCGTTCTCCAGGAACCTAGTTGGTGTCGGCTGCCTCCAGGACCTTGGCGTCACCACTACGTTCCCTGGTCACGAGCGGTATGCTGTCTGTACCGAGGCCGCCACTGGTGCCCCCCTGTCCACGTTCCCCCGGGACCCGGTGTCTGGCCTGTTCACTCTGGACACCGTGACCCCCCCGGCTGGAGCGCCCCCTCAGGTGGCTGCGTCTACCCAGGTTGCTGCTGCCTGCTCCTGTCGCTCCCTCACTCACCCGACCCTCCTGTGGCACCACCGCCTAGGTCACCCTGCGCTCCTGCGTCTGCGTCACATGTCTCAGCACGGTCTCGTCCTTGGTCTCCCAGGTTCGCTCCCCGCGTTTCCCTCCTCTCCAGCCCCACCTTGCACGCCTTGTGTCGAGGGTCGGCTTCGCCGTGCCCCTCACTCCTCCTCGTTTCCCCCTACCGCCGCGCCGCTGCAGACCCTGCACCTGGACGTCTGGGGCCCCGCCCCCGTCCCTGGGCCGCGTCGAGAGCGCTACTTCCTTGTGCTTGTCGACGACTTCACTCGTTACACCACAGTCTTTCCCCTGGAGCGCAAGGCCGACGTGCCTGGCGCTCTCATCCCCTGGCTTGTCTCTGCGCGTGTCCACCGCGGTCTCCCTGTCTTGCGTCTTCACTCAGACCGTGGTGGCGAGTTTGCCTCCGGTGTCCTTGGTCGCTTTTGTCGCGCGGAGGGCATCACCCAGACGTTCACCCTACCGGACTCCCCACAGCAGAATGGGGTCGCTGAGCGACGCATCGGTTTGGTCATGGAGGTCGCTCGCACCTCCATGATCCATGCCGGTGCACCCCATTTTCTGTGGCCGTTCGCTGTGCGCTACGCTTCTCACCAGCTTAACCTGTGGCCGCACCCTCAGCAGCCGCAGGTTTCGTCGACCCGTCTTTGGACTGGGTCCCCTGGTGACGCGTCTGCGTTCCACGTCTGGGGCTGCCTTGCTCACGTCCGTGCCTCCGGCACGGACAAGCTCACTGCCCGCACCCTTCCCTGCGTCTTCCTCGGTTTTCCCCTTGACGCGTCCGACTGGCACTTTTACCACCCGCCGTCTCACCGCTTCTTTCACTCTCGTGACGTCACCTTTGACGAGTCCGCCTCCTACTACCGCCGCTTTCCCCACCGTGGTCCCCCGGTTACCCCCCCCTGTTCCTGGTCACCCCTTCCCCGGTAGTCCCTGCCCCTCCTCCTCCTCCTCCCCGTCCCGCCCCCTCTGGTGTGTCCCACGTCACCCCCCTTCCGTCCGTGGACCCGGTTGAGGAGTCTTCTGCCTCTGGTGGCCCTCCTGTGCAGTCCTCGCCGGCCGCCCCTCCCCAGGTGTCCCCTCCCCAGTCCCCTCCTCCACCGCCCCTACCGCTGCTGCAGCCGTCGTCGTCGCCGCCGCCGCCGCCGCCGCCGTCGCAGCCCCCGTTCGCCGACTCTGGGGGTGCTCGTCCCGGTCGCCCTGGGGGTGGTCCCTCTGGGGGTGCTGGTGTGGAGAGTGCCGGTGGTCGCCGAGGAGCAGCTTGCGGTCCAGGTGTCGCCGTTGTGCCGCCGCAGCAGCGGTCCCCGCCGGTGTCCGCCCTTCGCCTGCTCGGCCTTCCGTCCCCCGACCCTGCGTCGGTTCCTCCCCGACCGTCTCCTCCTCTTCCTGTCTACGGCCCTGTTTTCCCTCCGCCGGACTCGTCCCCGGCTCGTCTCCCCCCTCGTTCCCCTCCTGTGTCCCCTCCCCTGTCTCCTGACCCGACTCCTCCGTCGCACGTCTGGTCTCACCGCCCCTCCCGTGCTCGTCCTGCCTTGCCTGTCTTGCGCTCCCACCCTATGTTGCTTCGTTCCCACGCGTCTCGTCCTCCCCTTCTGCCGTCGCCTCCTCCGTCCTCCCTTGTTGTTGCGCCCCCCCTGCTGTCCGACTACCTTCGTGCCGCTCGTCCTCTCGTCCCTCGGGTCCTTGCCTCTCTCGTTACCGATCCGTCTGTTCCGGTCTCGTGCCTTGACGCTCTTGTCGCTGCGGTCGCTGACTTCGCCTCTACCCGCCGCCTTGACTACGCCACCGCTCTGGTCTCTGACCCTGCCTGTCCTCCGTCTGTCGGGGGTGCTCCTGCCCTTGGCAGTGACGTCCTGGAGGACCGCCAGTTCGAGCTTGCTTTCCTCTCCGAGGCTGCTCCCCATCTCTGTTCCATGCTGCTAGTCCCTGAGGGTGACCCAGACGCTTTCGACATCCCGACCCCTCGCACTTACGCTGAGGCGACTTCGGGACCCTGGGCCTCACAGTGGATAGCTGCCATGGAGCAGGAGATGGCATCTTGGAGATCCACCGGCACCTTCGTCGACGCAGTTCCCCCACCTGGGGTGAACGTAGTCGATGGCCGCTGGCTCTTCAAGGTGAAGCGCCCTCCTGGAGAGCCGCCTGTCTTCAAGGCGCGCTATGTGGCTAGAGGCTTCAGTCAGCGCGAGGGGGTGGACTTCTTCCAGACTTTCGCTCCGACCCCGAAGATGACTACTCTTCGGGTTCTGTTACACCTAGCTGCTCAGCGTGACTACGAGCTTCACTCCCTCGACTTCTCCACTGCCTTCCTTCAGGGCAGCCTACACGAGCAGGTCTACCTGCATCGCCCTCCGGGCTTTACTGGCACCTTCCCTCCTGGGACCCAGTAGCTCCTGCGGCGCCCCGTCTATGGCCTGCGCCAGGCTCCCCGTGAGTGGCACGACACTCTCCGTGCTACCCTTGCTGACCTGCAGTTCTTTCCGTCTTCCGCAGACCCTTCACTCTTCGTTCGTGCTGGCCAGACTTCGTTCTACATCCTTGTTTACGTCGACGACCTGGTCTTTGCCACGGCAGACAGGGACGCACTGGCCTCCGTGAAGGCAGAGCTGCTGAAGAGACACACGTGCACTGACCTTGGAGAGCTGCGCCGTTACCTTGGCTTGCAGATCTCCCGGGACAGAGCTGCGCGCACCATCACCCTGACTCAGTCACACTTGGTGCGCCAGGTCCTTCAGAGGTTCAGCCTTCAGTTCTCCTCTGCACAGCCCACCCCTCTGCCTGTAGACCACAGACTCTCCGCTCCAGTACCTGAGGAGTTGGTAGAGCCCAGCGGCCCCTACGCAGAGCTGGTGGGTTGCCTCATGTACCTGATGACTTGCACTCGCCCAGATCTCGCATACCCTCTCAGCATCCTGGCGCGCTTTGTGGCCACCGGCAGACACCGACCGCAGCACTGGTCTGCCGCTAAGAGGGTTCTGCGTTATCTTGCTAGTACATCGGGTACATGTGAGAGTACGACCTCGTTACACCACTTGGCCTTTTCCATATTTCATCTTCATTTCATTCCTCTTTTTATCTCATCTCTTGTGGCCTCATATTTCCCATTTTCCCTTATCCTTTGGTTTCTTCCTTTATTATTATTATATCACCGACCAGGCATGGAATGTTCTAGACACGCTATCTAGCGTAATCCTGCCATAATCCCTTAAAGCCAATAGCCTCGCGTGGCTATACGCAGGGTGATTCTATTTTCTAGAAGGGTCTATTCCTTTAGATAGGATAAACCTGGTTACCTGATGTACTCTGGAAGTATAAAAGCGCCTTGTACTGATCGATAGTGCAATCGATCCTCGAGTCATTCGATCCTGTGACACTTGGTATCAGAGCTTTTCTCACTCGGCCGCGCTCAACAAAGCAGCAGCAGCGGGAAAACCTGCTTCGAAAAACCGCCGGGGGCGACCAATTCGACGCCGATTCTGGTAAGCACCAGCTCCGCGATTTTCGAATTACCCCCTCCGTGCGTGTTTTGAACAGGATGGCAACCTTCGACAACGCCGAGGTTACCCAGCAGCTCTTCGCGCGCATCGCAGCCCTTCAGGAGGAAATGCGAGCGGATCGCGAAGCGTGGCGAAACCAGTTCGAGCGAGTAACTCGACTCGCCGGAGCGCAGCACGAGACGACTACGGCGACGACGCAGCAGTCGCAGCAATTTCTCGAGGCTCCAAAACCGCGCCCACCTGAGCCGTTCGATCCGAGCGATCGAAACTCCGACGCCCGCAGATGGATCGCCGGGATGGAGATCTACTTCGCAGCCGTCGGATGGAGCTCGCCAGTCTGGGACGGTCAACGTGTACGACTCGCGGCGACACTGATGCGAGGGCCGGCACTCGAGTGGATTGGCGGTAACAGCACCTTCATCCACGGTGAAGCCACGTGGCAGCAGTTCCGCGCCGACCTGCTGAAACGATTCGAGCCGATAAATTCAGGTTTCCTTGCCCGCGAAAAAATTCATCGCCATCGACAGTTCGGGAGTGTAGCACAGTACACGCAGCAGATGGAAGAATTTTATAACCGAATTCCCGACCTGACCGAAGGGGAAAAAGTGCAATCATACCTCGCAGGGCTGAAGACCGAAGTCAAACGACAGGTGGCAGCGTCAAACTACGCGAGCTACAGTGACGTCGTTTCGGCCGCGGAGCGCTTCGACATGGTCAACGCCGGAACACGACGGACGCACGTCGGCAGTACGCGACAGGGCGACCGCTCGGCTCACACCACGTTCGCCGACCCGATGGAGATCGACAGATTCGACGGGCGGCCACGTCCAAAAAACACCAATTACACGTGTGATTTTTGCGGGGTGCCGGGCCACCGAATCTTCGACTGCAACAAAATGAAGGCCGCACGCGCAGAGTATCGGGCACGCAACAGTGGCGGAAATCTTCCGGCCAATCAGAAGCCAAAAAATGGGAGTCGCCAGTGATTGCGGATCTAGCTGGCGAAAATAAAAAGATCCGAAAGCGGCCGCGGGATTCCGGGAAAATCAACTTCGACGAAGCTGATTCGACGCGAGAAGGAGGAAATGATGGGGGAAAATCTCCACCTCACGACCAGTCTTCGCCAGGGAAAATCGCCGAGGAAAAATCAGACTCCGCGAAAAAAGACTCTGCCGAGACGGGGAAACTCCTTGAAGACCCAAGAAATTATAAGAATTCGTTAAAGCTATCCTATAAAGATGCTTTAATGAAAACTTATGATTTTCGAGGGGCTAGAGCCTTGGAGAAAATACGGGAGGGACTCCAAAAGAAGCAGAAAGCTGTGGAGATTATACCGGTACCGGACAACTTGGGGACCAAATTAAGGAGTGTGGAAAGAAGCCGACCTTTCCACGGAGTCAACGTCCTCTCCCGACACCAGCCCACAACGACTACCCGCTCCCCAGGGAAGACGTCGGTGGAGCTGAAGCAGCTCAAGAGGAAGCTGGGGGTCTACAAGAAGCTGCAAAAACCCCGAACCCCTTCAACGGATGCATCCAGTTCTTCGGCATCAACGACACGCACAGTCGTCAGGGAAACTCCGGGCCCTGGAGAAGAGCCGTTCTCCAAGCAGCCTTGGCCAGCTGCTAGCTCAGGAGCAGATAGCAACGAAAAGGTGTGTACGGATTATTGGGATGTACCCTATGACCCCATTAATGAAACTATTTTTGGGTACTCCGAGCAACGCCCGCCTCTCGTGCTCGAGGTCATCTGCAAAGGACGACGCCTCCAAGCACTCGTGGACAGCGGAGCGTCTCACACCGTCTGCGACAAGGCAGCAATCGACCGACTTCGAGAAGAGTACAAGCCTTCGGGATTTTCTGCAACGATGGTGGATGGCAGCAAGTTACCAGTGCACGGCGAAGCAGTGTTACACCTACAAATTGGACCACTGCGCTGGAGACCGGCACTCCCCATCACCAACATCAAAGGGCTTGACTTGATCTTCGGGCGAGACTTCCTGAAAAGATTCAACCCCGAGATCAACTGGGTAAACCGCACCGCAAGCATCTACAACAATGGACGGAGAGTGCAGCTACCCAACTGGGACGATACAGGAGATATCCCAGTGGAGACACTCGCACGATTCGAGAAGGACGTGAAACGAACCGACACCGGGTTCCTGGCAATAGCGACAGAGGTGGAAGACGGCAAGGAGAAGATCTCGGAACCTCCAGGAAAAATCAAGGAATTGCTGAAGGAGTTCCAAGACATTCTTCCTGACGACCTACCGAACGAGCTACCGCCATACCGCACACATCAACATGAGATCGTGGAGGAACCAGGTTCGAAGCCGACCTTCCGAGCACCATATCGGCTAAGTCCTACGGAGCTGACCGACATGAAGAAACAAATCGAGTATCTCCTGGCCAAAGGACTCATCCGACCATCTACTTCACCATACGGTGCCCCAGTACTCTTCACCCCGAAACCGGACGGAAGCCTGCGCATGTGTATCGACTACCGAGCTCTTAACAAGCAGACCATCAAGAACAAGTATCCGATACCACGAATCGATGACCTGCTTGACCAGCTTCGGGGAGCTACGGTATTTTCCAAACTGGATCTGCGGTCCGGATACTGGCAGATACGGATGGCGGACAACTCTATCCACAAAACTGCTTTCCGAACTCGGTACGGATCGTACGAGTATCTGGTAATGCCGTTCGGACTCACCAACGCACCGGCAACTTTCCAAGCCGAAATGAACCACATTCTACGACCACTTCTGGACGAGTGCGTGGTGGTGTACCTGGACGACATCCTCATCTACTCGCGCGACATGAAGCAACACGTCGAACACCTGCGACGCGTCTTCGAAATTCTTCGACGAGAACGATTCTACCCTTGAAAGGGTCCAGTTCCTAGGACACATGGTGAGCGCTCGAGGAGTTCACGTCGACCCCAAGAAAATCGAAGCCGTACGTACGTGGAAGACACCCGAGAACGTGAAGGAGTTGCAGCAGTTCCTAGGCTTCGCTAATTACTACAACAGGTTCGTGCCACAGTATGCGAAACTCGCGGCACCACTCACGAATCTGTTGAAGAAGAACACGCCCTACCAATGGGAGACGAAGCACCAGGAAGCCGTGGAGCAGCTGAAACAAGCCCTAACATCCGCACCGGTGCTCATCTTGCCAGATCCCGAACGTGACTACGTCATTGAAGCAGACGCCAGTGATCAGGCCGTGGGGGCAGTCTTGATGCAAGACCAGGGGAATGGACTGCAACCAATTGCCTACCTCAGCAAGAAACTACACGGGGCAGAACTAAACTACCCGATACACGATAAAGAGGCTCTTGCTATTGTCATCGCCTTCAAAGCATGGAGATGTTATCTCGAAGGACGCAGAACAACCGTCTACACCGACCACTGCAGCCTGAAATACTTGAAGACACAACCTAACCTTTCCAGGCGGCAGGTCCGGTGGATCGACTTCCTCGAGACGCACTTCCACTACGACATCGTGTACAAGCCCGGCCACAAGAACAAAGCAGACGCTCTCAGCCGGCCTGCACACGTTGCCGCTATTCAGGCTGAAGGGATGAATCCACTACTCAAGGGACTCTTCACACACGGGTACGCCATCGACCCCGAAATTCCCTTGGCAGAAAAACGACACCTGCTACAGTGGGACAGTGACATCGCGTACCGGAAAGGATCAACGAAAATTTGGGTACCCAATTACCCTCCTTTGCGCCAGTTACTACTCAAAGAATACCACGACGTCCTATACGCCGGCCACTTCGGTAGCAACAAGACGCTGACCGGTATCGCGAAGCACTACTACTGGCCCCACTTGGCAGACGACGTTCAGAAGTTCGTCACCTCGTGTGATACATGTCAACGGATGAAGAGCAGTAAGCAGAAGAAAGCAGGACTGCTACAGCCTCTTCCCGTCCCAGAACAACCATGGCAAGTCGTTAGCCTGGATTTCATCACCGGGTTACCACCTACCACCAGCGGTCATGACGCGATCCTCGTCGTCATTGACAAGTTCTCCAAAATGGGACACTTCATCCCGACACACACGACAGCACGCACCGAGCAGACAGCACAGCTCTTCGTTCGTCACATCATCTCACAGCATGGCATCCCAATCACACTCATTTCCGACCGAGACCCCAAGTTCACCAGCAAGTTCTGGAAGGAACTTATGTCTCTGCTCGGCACCAAACTCGCCATGTCATCCGCATATCATCCGCAGACAGACGGACAGACCGAGCGCCTTAACCAGATTGTTGAGCAACTCCTCCGAGCAGCCTGCAAGGACGAGATCTCCAAATGGGACTTGCACCTGCCCGTCCTAGAGTTTGCCTACAACAACGCTACACACGCCGCTACGGGACAGACGCCGTTCTTCCTCTGCTACGGACGCCACCCACTCACACCACAGAAACCGCCAACACCAGCAACAGTCCAACCTGCACACGACTTCATCACAACCATGCATCAGCTTTGGGATCGGACCCATAAGCGCCTCCTTGACATTCAACAGCAACAGAAGCGCCAGGCCGATCGCCATCGCAACGACCACACCATCACGGTGGGGGACCAGGTGCTTCTCGACACCCGTAACCTGGACATCAGCCATCTCCCATCTAAACTTCGACCTCGCTTCTGCGGGCCTTTTCTCGTTGAAGCACAGGTCACTCCTGTTACCTTCCGCTTACGCCTGCCAGCTACCTGGAAGATTCACAACGCCTTCCATGTCCAACTTCTGAAGCCCTATCGGGATCCTAACACGATCTTCGTCGGACGCCAACCGCCGCCGCCGCCACCCGTCCTCGTCCAAAATGAACCCGAATACGAGGTCGAGTCCGTGCTTGCACACCGCCGTCGTCGGAATGGTACCGTGGAGCTTCTTATTCGCTGGAAGGGTTATGATCCTTCTGAGGACAGCTGGGTCTCTGAGACCGACATGGGTAACGCCCGTCGTCCTCTGCATGACTACCTTGTCAAGCAGGGTGTTACTTCTACCACCCAGCTTTGAGGGGGGGAAGTGTGAGAGTACGACCTCGTTACACCACTTGGCCTTTTCCATATTTCATCTTCATTTCATTCCTCTTTTTATCTCATCTCTTGTGGCCTCATATTTCCCATTTTCCCTTATCCTTTGGTTTCTTCCTTTATTATTATTATATCACCGACCAGGCATGGAATGTTCTAGACACGCTATCTAGCGTAATCCTGCCGTAATCCCTTAAAGCCAATAGCCTCGCGTGGCTATACGCAGGGTGATTCTATTTTCTAGAAGGGTCTATTCCTTTAGATAGGATAAACCTGGTTACCTGATGTACTCTGGAAGTATAAAAGCGCCTTGTACTGATCGATAGTGCAATCGATCCTCGAGTCATTCGATCCTGTGACATCGGGCATGGGGTTAGTGCTTGGAGGACGCAGGCTAGTGGTCCTTACTGGACACACAGACGCTTCGTGGGCAGACGACGCTGAGACACTCAGGTCTACCCAGGGCTACTGCTTCAGCCTTGGCTCAGGTGCCGTCTCGTGGAGAGCTACTCGCTCCTCGTCTGTTGCACAGTCCAGCTGTGAGGCTGAGATCTACGCCGGTGCCATGGCGGCACAGGAGCTCCGCTGGCTGACCTTCTTGCTCACTGACTTAGGTGAGCGGCCTAGCTCTGCCCCGGTCCTGTTCGCTGACAACAGGGCCATGATCCTCCTGTGTCAAGAGCCTCGACTCGAGGGCAGAGCGAAGCACATTCAGCTGCGGTACTTCCTCCTGCGTGAGCTACAGCAGCGATGTCAGGCTCGCGTAGTACACTTGGCCTTAGGTGCCAACACAGCTGATATCTTTACGAAGGCACTTGCGCGGTCTGGAAGAAGTCCACCCCCTCACGCTGACTGAAGCCTCGAGCAACGTAGCGCGCCTTGAAGATAGGCGGCTCTCCAGGAGGGCGCTTCACCTTGAAGAGCCATCGACCATCGACTACGTTCACCCCAGATAGAGGAACTGCATCGACGAAGGTACCAGTGGATCTCCAAGATGCCATCTCCTGCTCCATGGCAGCTATCCACTGAGAGGGCGTCTGGGTCGACCTCAGGGACTAGCAGTATGGAAGAAAGATGGGGAGCGGCCTTGGACAGGAACGCTAGCTCGTACTGCCTGTCCTCTACGACGGCACTGCCAAGGGCAGCCACACCCCCGACGGACGGAGGGCAGGCAGGGTCAGAGACCAGAGAGGTGGTGTAGTAAAGGCGGTGGGTAGCGGCGAAGTCAGTGACAGCAGCGACAAGAGCCGACAGACTTGAGACAGGAACGGACGGGTCGGTAACAAGAGAGGAACAAGGGGATGGGCGGTACGGAGGAAGTAAGAGAACAGAGGCGGGGTGACAGCAAGCGATAACGGAGGAGGAGACGGGAGGAGCGGAGGAGCACAAGACGCGTGGGAGCAAAGCAACATAGGGTGAGAGCACTGAATAGGGGAGGTAGGTCGGGCACGAGACGGACGACGAGCCTAGACGTGAGACGAGGGAGTCGGGTCAGGAGAGAGGGGAGGAGACACAGGGGGAGAACGAGGAGGGAAACAAGCCGGAGGGGAGTCTGGTGGAGGAAACACGGGTCTGTAGACAGGCAGAGGAGGAGGCGGCGACGACGACGAAGATACAGGCGAGCGGTCAGGGGAAGGAAGGCTGAGGAGGCGGAGAGCAGACACCGGCGGCGACTGCTGCTGCTGCCGCTCCACGCCAACACTAGAACCTCCAGCTGCACCACGGCTCCCTCCGAGAAGCTCCACACCAGTACCCCCAGAGGGGGAACCCGCCGCAGGACCCTCTCCAGCATGCTCTCCAGCACCCCCAGAATGCACGAACCCTAGCGGCGGCGACGACGGCGGCGACGGCAGCGGCGGAGGCTACTGCGGTGAAGTCAGCGGAGGAGGGACTGAGGCGGGAAATAGTGGGGGACACGACTCCGCAGAGCCGTGGGAGTCAGAAGACTCCTTGACAGGGACACCGGACGGGGTGGGAGTAACGTGCGACACACCGGGGTGGTAGAAGTGCCAGTCAGACAAGTCGAGGGGGAAACCGAGGAAGACACAGGGGACTGTGCGAGCTGTGAGCGTGTCTGTGCCGGAGGCATGGACGTGAGGAAGGCAGCCCTAGACGTGGAACGCAGACGCGTCGCCAGGAGACCCGGTCAAGAGGAGGGTCGGCGAAACCTGCGGCCGCTGAGGGTGCGGCCACAGGCTAAGCTGGTGAGCAGCGTGGCTAACGGCGAACGGCCACAGAAAATGGGGTGCATCGTCATGGATCATGGAGGTACGAGCCACCTCCATGACCAAACCGATGCGTCGCTCAGCGACCCCATTCTGATGTGGGGAGTCCGGGAGGGTGAACGTCTGGGTGATGCCCTCTGCACGACAGAAACGACCAAGGGAACCAGAGGCGAACTCACCACCACGGTCAGAGTGAAGACGCAACACTGAGAGACCTCTATGAACACGCACAGAGACAAGCCACGGGAGAAGAGCGTCAGGCACATCAGCCTTCCACTCGAGGAAAAACACCGTGGTGTAGCGTGTTTAGTCGTTGACAAGCACCAGTAAGTAGTGCTCGCGACGCATCGCATGGGCGCGGGCGAGGCCCCAGATGTCCATGTACAGGGTCTGCAGTGGTGCGGTGGTGGGGGGGAACGAGGAGGAGTGAGGGGCACGGCGGAGCTGGCCCTCGACGCAAGGAGTGCACGGCGGCGCTGTGAGGAGGGTAGCTCAAGGAACGACACTGGGAGACCTAAAACTAGACCGTGCTGAGACATGTGACGAAGATGGGGGAGAGCAGGGTGACCTAGACGACGGTGCCACAGAAGCGACAGGTGAGTAAGCGAACGATAGGAGCAGGCTGCGGCAACCTGGGTAGACGCAGCCACCTGGGAAAATGTCCCAATCGGGGGGGACGCGGTGTCCAGCGTGAACAGGCCGGACACCGGGTCCCGGGGGAACGTGGTGAGGGGAGCACCAGTGGCGGCCTCGGTACAGACTGCGTACCGCTCGTGACTAGGGAACGTAGTGGTGACGCCGAGGTCCTAAAGGCAGCCGACACCAACTAGGTTCCTGGAGAACGAGGGGATGTGCAGAAAGGGTCTGCAAGGGCAACTCTGGTTAGAGCAGCAAGCGGCGTAAGCGTAGTGGAGTCCCGAAAGAAACACTGGGACGCGCCAGAGTCCAGGGTAAAGGAGAGCGACGCTATGGCGGTCGGGGACGGAGGAGCGAGTGTGAAGCAAAGGCTAAGCAAAGCAGGGGATCCTACGCGTGACAGAGCAGGGGAGCCTGAACAAGACACACTAGGCACAGCTATACTAGGTAACACAGGGTAATAAGAACCAGTCACACTAGAGTCATCAAGATACAGGGCATACAAGGCAGAGCTAATCTCATCCATGTCCATCTCAAAGATCATAACATCACGGCACAGCAGACTCTGCCAGTCAGGGAGGTCCGGCACCGGGCCGAAGCGGAGCCAAAACAGGTCGTCCAGGCAACAGAAAAAGCGAGTGGGGGTATGACCGATCTTACCGCACACAAGGCTACAGCGAAGACCAGTCTGGAGCTAGTACTGGCAGCGCCCGTCACTCGCACCACCACCCGACAACACGCTGCGCACACGATCACTGCTGCCACCTCCACCACCGGCGCCAGGCCACCCGGGCGGGAGACGACCGACCCGCCGCTGCTGCTGGTCCGGCGGGGGCACCTACTGCTGCTGGGGCTGCTGCGTGGCGGCACCAGCCCTAGTCCCCTCGTCAGTACTACTAGCTGGCGACCCACCGCCACCACCGCAGCCACCCCCTCCTCCGCTACCTCCGCCGCGCCCAGCCTTGGGGCGACGGCCCTTACCTGGACGGAACTGCGCTGCAGCAGCTGTCTCCGCAGTAGGGGCGGTCTTAGCGACAGCAGCAGAACTGTCAGAGTAAGAGCACTAAGAGGGGGGACAACCCTGAAAGATAGGGACCGGCGCAGTATCGCTAGACTAGGCGATAGAGCGCTGTCGGGTCTCTATGGCAGACAGGGTGTCTACGAAGTCAGTGAGAGTGAGGTCAGCGGGGTGGAGACTCAGAAAATGGTCGCGGGCAGTGGCAAGGCGGTCAGGGAGGCGGGTGGCAAGCAAGTAAAGGGTGGAGATGAGGGGGGGCTGGAACACACGAAGCTGGGCCTCAGTGCAAGCAACTCGCCAGGTCGTGTCTAGCGTACGCAAGTGCGTGGCCAGATCAGCGACAGCGGAAGGATGGCCACTCCCTGGTTGCGCGGCAGCGGCAACAGAGTCACAATCAGCAAACGTGGGGTCAGCGGGTAGGGGAGCAGGGGGGTCAGGGCTCGGAAGCGTACCGTCGAGGTGGACGGCCAGGGAGTGGCCATCCTTCCGCTGACCAGTGAGCTGGCGGCGGAGGTCGAGGAGCCACGTGTCGAACTCGATAGGCTGCCCTTCCGCGTCCAAGCACAGGACCGAGTCCGCCATCATGATCGCTGCTGTAGCAGATGAGCGACAGTGGGCTGATCTGAGCAAAGGAGTGCGGTGCAGTACAGTGGGGGGCGGTGCAGTGCGATATAGTGCAATTAAGAGCGGTGCAGTGCAGTGGAGTGTAGTGCGGAGGGGTGAGGAGCAGTGCAGTGCGGTTAGGAGCGATGCAATATAGTGCAGTGCAGTGCAGTGCGGTGGGGAGCGGTGGAGTGTGGTTGGAAGCGGTGCAATACGGTTGGGAGCAGTGCAGTGCGGTAGGGAGGGGTGCAGTGCGGTTGGGAGCGATGCTGTGTGGTGAAGCACGGGAGAAGCCGAAGAGGCAGCTGAGGGACGAGGCTGCGAGGCGGTCGGGCGACAGGCCTTCGGGGCGGCTAGGGGATGAGGCACACGGCGGCTAGGGGCGACAGGGCGGCGGCGAGGCGACGAGGCCGCGGGCGCCTAGGCGACGGCTAGGGACGAGGCCGGCAGCTGGGCAACGGGGCGGCGGCTAGGTGACGGGGCCGCAGGCGCCTAGGCGACGGGGCAACTAGGCCGTTGGCG